AAACACGCGTTCGACCGACGCCATTTTGAACCTCCAGATTGTCTGCTATATTTTTGTTTATGTGTTTATTTGGGGGAATGTAAAACGATGGCCCACAATGCAGCTGAATAACTTCACTTTTAAAAATCTAACCAATAACTCGAATGGACATGAAATATTGTACTCATGTAATTTTGTAAACTTTGAAATTTTTCACGTCATACAATTTTTCTGTATCTCACAATTTTAACTTCAGTAATTTTCTTTGCTGTATAATTTAAATTAAACGTAAACTTTCATGCTCTCCAGTACTTAATCTCACGTAATTTTTTATCTGCACAAGTTTTATTTCACACCAGATCTTTTTGTTTTTATAAATCTTTGCTAGTTTGGATATACATCAAATTTGACGTTGATTAGCTTAACATTAGAGTGCAATAATAAGTGCCACTTTTTGCACTCTAAACCATTGAGATATGAGTCATTTTTTACACGATTGTAGAAAAAATACTTTGTTGAGATTTTGTTTCTGTAACGATAAAATATCGGTACCGATAAAATGTGGTCGTCTTTTTCTTTCGCATCTGAAATTTATATTTTCATCCTTGTCATTTATCGCTTCGTTATCGCTTCGGTAGAAACAAAATCCCACCCCAAACTCTTTTTGATTTTATAAATTTTTGCTGGGTTTTTGTTTTGTAAATATTTTGTTGAGTAATGCTTCCATCATATGATGTCCTGATGTCCAATCTTAATGTCAGATAAAAATTCTTTGCTGTTTAAAAATTTCACGAGAGTGTATGGAGAATTTCAATGTTGTTTATTGCTCTTTGAAACTTCGACACTTGTTCAGTTGTAGTTTAATATCAGAGTCATAGAAAGTGAACATTTAAATGGAACTGAGGTTAAATAACACATAAATGCTTGGCAGAAGCGGAGAGGTGCTGTGCGGCAGTGCTTGCGAATAAAATCAGCGTCGTGGGTAGGAGAATAGCCATGACCAGGAGCCCCAAACTCCGCTCGTGCTATAACGCCCCCTATGGATAATTCAGATTTGTCTTTGTTTTTATTAAATTTATGATTTTCAACTATTTGCATTGGTTCAGAACGTTTAATTTGATTTCATTCAATGTTTTTTTTTTTGTAGCTGAGCATTAAGCGGTGTCTTCAACGGGCACAACTTAGTAGCAGCTTTTTTTTTTTCTTTTTTTTTTGTCAGTGGAGGAATAAATAATTTTGTGTCCTCCATATACTTTGCGTTTTATTTAGCGGTACTTTTCCAACCTTGGGGTCCGCGATTTTTTTCGCGGGCTTTTCAATTTTTTTCAGATATCAGTTTAAGGCGGGATGTTTGGGTTATCACAACGTGGTAAATTGTCAATCAAAATATATCTGTTTAGTTGACGTCATCTCAAAATTTTGCCGAATAAATTCTACCCAAAATGTGAAAAATGTGATTAGTTTTTACTTGTTTTTAGTATTACACTGCACCGTTGATATAAGTGTCCTTGTAAAAATGTTGATGACAAAATTGTCCAAAGAAAAAACTAAACTCGAAAATGCTGGATATGTTTCGTTGTACTTCAGGAGCGAGGGAAGTTCTGTTGAAACAGCTTTCGACCAATTTTTTAGATTTGCCTATACAGGCTGTTCTAAAAAAATTAATAACTGAGTCAATTTATTTTATTGATTAAATCAAGAATTGCAAAACGGAATACTTTGAAATCTTGCAGACATTTTGATGTTATTGTGAGCTTGGTAACTTTTTAATCAAAAAGTCTGTTTATCAACGCTAAAAAATTGATGACGTCATCTTAAAATTTTGCCGAATAAATCCTAAAAAAAAATTGCAAAATGTGATCACTCTATACTCGCAATTTATCATTGCATTCATATTTTTTAGATTTGCTTATATAGGATGACTCATTTTGGAATGAAAAAACTCAGTTGAAACAAACGCGTAGCATGATTCTTTCCATTTACTTTAACATTGCATACATAGCTTTATTTTACTTTAGTGTTAGTGTTATCATAAAAAAATAAAATTCGCAAAATCAAATTAAATAATTTTTCGAAACAGCTGGATTTAATGTACTGTACGTTGTAGGCCAGAAATTTCTGTTGAAATAATCTTCGACCAATTTTTTTAATTTACTTAGTATTAGATCGACTCAAAGAAATGTGTGAATGTGAATTAATTAAAGTGTTGGTGATGTCATCATAAAATGTTATAATGGAAAAAACCACTGGAACCATCTACATACCATGCTCTTTTACCTATTTTAACATTCGGCAGTTAGCTTTATTTTAACTTATATTTTACAATTTTTCGAAGATTCTGTATTTGTTTGCCTGTGGTTCAGAGACGAAGGAAGTTCTGTCTACGTAACTTTAGACCGATTTTTAAATGTCTGAGATGTAATTCTACAAACTTCCAAAAAATCTTCTTACTCCATTCTGCCTCCAACCCCACTTCCACTTTATCCAGCAAAAACTAAAAGAATGTTTTTCAAAAACCGTTTAAACTTCACTTTAATACTTTATCCACCAAAAACAAAGACTTTTTTCAAAAAACACTCACTCTTTAATGAATAATTAATAATCGAAGAGACATATTTACGGTTCCGCGAAGAAGTCAATACTGGTTTTGATACATAATTACACCCCCCTTCGACTCCCTCGGTGATCTATTTTCCAGTCGGCGGATTCCAAGAATCGAGTCATTGTCTCGAGTATTTGCAAGAAATTCGCCGAGTGATTTTTTGCAAAAAATGTCGATTTTTACAGAGTCACAATAAACACAACCCGGTAAAAAGTAACTGCAAAAATTCAATTAAAATTTTTGAAAAATTGCCTCGCCTCGAAATAAACAGAATTTTGTTTTTTACTATTTTGAAATCCCTAGTGATTTATTTTTTAAAGAATTTAAAAGAGTGTCGGGACATTTGATGTTTTTTGAAGGCGATTAATTTTTAAAGAATTCTAAATTGAGCAACAAAACTTTACACAGATTCTTTTAGCAACTACTAAGTCGATCGTTTTGAAATTTAGTACTTATTTTGAGGTTGTCATCAGCCTGATAAATCGCCAACAAAAATGATCTATCCACACCAAAAGTTTGATGACGTCATCTAATAAAAATATGCTAAGTGAATCCTATTTAAAATATTAACTTCACCTGCTAGGGAATTCCTGTATGAATTACTTCAGACTAATTTTTTAGATTTGCATATACCTAGTCAAAAATTAATAAAGACAACATTTCCTACGCCAAATAAATTTCACATTTTCTAAATTGTGTTATTTTAACGTTTTTTTTTTTTTGTATGTTTTTTTAGTTCAAATAAAGGATATGTCTTGCAGGAAAAAATACTTTTTCTAAAATATTAATTTTAGCCCCTCGTGCGATTAAAAAAAAACAAATGGGCTTTGCATCTCCAAAACAATTGTGGAATTTGAATAATATTTTAGAAGATAGAGTCTAAATACTTTTACCTATGCACTGGTAACACATATTTAGCTGTATCTATACTTTTTAGCAACGTTGTATACATAATTTTTATCTAATATTGTATGTTTGTTAAATTTTAGATTTTCGTATTTTTTTCCAGATAAACCTTAGCGATAGCAACAGTAGTTAAGTCGAACTTACCCGTTTTCGGACCTTTCTGGATCCTCTTCGAAGTGGACAGCACTAACACAACACATTTTGAACAACTTTTATTAACAATATAATCGAAATTTCACGAGAAAACGCACTACTTTTGAAAACTGAACACAATTGCCTGAAAAACGTTGTCGCTTTTTGCTGCTCGCGTAGCAAAAAACGTACGTATGAATCATGATGAACTAGTCAAAATAGTGTTTTATATTATGATCCCGAAATTGCACATCTTCGGATTTAATTAAGTATCTTATAAAACAATGTTTGCATCAACTGATACTTTTTTAATAAATTCACGTTTGTAGGAAAATGCTTTTTGGTTTAATTTTGTTTCCTATTTGTAATTTGAAAATTATTTGGGAAATAGTTGTTTTAAATATTAGTAACCTTTGATGTTTAATCACAAATTGTCGTCCTACTACAATTTTTTTCTTAAAAAATAATGTGTATTCAATCAGTGTTTCTGTACTCTGTAACACTGGAAAAGTAGCACATTAAAATTTTTGTAGACATAAATACCGTATGATCGAAATAAAAGCGGTCTGATAGACCATAAAATTCGTTTTTAAAATAATACCAACGGGTGTTAAACTGTCAAATAGCTGAAATGCCAACGTCATTATTTTAAAAGTAAATTTCATGCACTGCTAGAGTATTGTAAAATTTACATTAGAGTTTTACTGTCGTAATGAAAGTCTAGTGTTTTCCTTAACTTATTAATAATTGACATAAAGTCGCGATCTTTTCTATAGAACCACTCCCTAGTGTAAATTTTCAAAATTTGTTTGGTGTAAGTGACCTTGACGGGTTTCTGGGGGAAACTTATGTGTCAAAAATTCGACAGGTTAGATGGCCCCATTGTCAATGTAGATATTTTATTTTAATAAATAGTTGAACAGAACATACAGTCTGTACGGGATACAGTGCGGCATAGCTGAGGGCAACCGAAATATTCGTGTTGTGCTAATTTCGATTGCCATATCAACTACGGCTACCAACCGCGTTCGGCGTAAAGTACTAGATGACAGGGCTACCAACTTGACTTTTTATCGAGTGGTTCTGTAGAAATGACCGCTACTGTAAATGTGACATTTATCTTATAAAATATAAAAAAGTGCCCAAAACTAGTCGCTAAAAATGGTTATTTATCACAAAAAAAATGTTATCTTTGATTATGTCAAATATCGCATTTTCTGTTTGGGAGTTTTTAACTATTTTCATTGTTATGTAATTTTAATAATTTATTCCTTATTTTTTCGATACCCTACAGAGATTTCTTTGCTCCGCCTATGGTTACATGTCTAGTTACCCCAGTTATTTCTTTGCCCCTCAATTGGTAATATTGGTATCCCTGTCAGTCGAAATTGACGCATGTGTGCCGCTCGTGTTGTGTTGGTGTTGTGTAGGCAAATTTGAAGATTTCTAAAATAAACTGGAACTCTGGAGCCAAATCGTACTTTGAACCGATACAAATAATATATAGAGATGGATAATAAACCACAACAACTCTGGGACGGTAAACGAGAAGCTCCGAAAGGACTACGACTTCCAAATACACCGCCGAGTCGTCTACTCGAAGAATCAAAATCACCAGCGGCTACGCCAGGAAACGCGAAGAAGTCATCAAATTTGCCACCACAGAAACAAGACGTTAAAACGTCGAAATCTAGACTGTCAGCAGACGCACCAGAGTTTTTCCCCTCATACTATCAAAGTCTGAGTACAGTTAACGCCACACCAGCAAATGCCACACCAGCGAACTCCGCGAGCTCCATACAGAATAGACTAAAGAAACATAAAGTAACAGACTCAAATTCGGCTCAGCAATCACTTACTGATAGCGTTGATGACTTTGTTGGATCTCCTGATGACATTCGCCTGAATCATCTCATCGACACTCTAACCAAAGACCCTGGCCAGTTTAGTGATCTCTTAGACATATTTATGGATACTTTATGCCCGTACTTCGGAGATGTTTTAGTTCTTTCACGTGCAGCTCAACTTCTAGTCCAACAGGTACTACTAGCACTCGTTGGTAGCAAAACGTGATCACAATTATTTTGTAGGCGATCAATCATCCAAGTTTTCGATATTCAGCGGCAAAACTGTGTTGTTTCATTGAACAATATTGTCCAGAATTTCGAGCTGAGCTTCACTTGACATGTCAAAAAGAACTAAGTAATAATTTAAACAAATCAGGCTTACTGCTATTTGTGGCTGAATTGTATACTCAGCTTCATCATGAAAATATTTATGGAAACTATCTAATTGACGCTTATAAACACTTACTACAAATTGGTGGAAATGATAATGTGAAATGTATTTGTCAAGCACTGAAAGTAATTCATATCTGCGTTACTATTTTCTATATTAAGAAAATTTGTTTTTTAGTTAACAGGATACTCTCTTGAGCTATATAATAAAAAAGCATTGGATGAAGTTTTTACTAAATTAATTGAAGTGCAGCCAACTGTGACAGGAACTGCTGCAAGCCTAATTAATTCCGTCATTAATTTAAGGAGTTCACAGTGGGGTCACACTAGTCCAACAAATACCAAGTAATACACATTTTTGTAAATAAAAATAATCTTATTTTTTGCGATTACAGTTCTAATTCAGAAACGGAAAATCCTTTTTGGAATGAAGCCCCACCACATACTGTTTTCTATAACACTGATGGTTCGAAATTTACTTCAGAGGAAAATGAGTTTCTTGCAGCAAATATAAACTCTACGGATGAATATCTAACGTGAGTTAAATAATTGAAAGTGAATTAGTAACTTGTGTACATTTCACAGAGACGCGTCTGACCCTGATGAGCTGTATGATCCTGAACCAGAAATGGATGAAGAGATCCAAGCTGCTTTTAAAGAGTTTGTTAAGTTGAGTAATCGATAGTTTCGAAATTTTCTTTATTAAAATTTAATGTAACTTATGTATTTAAAAACGTAAGTTTAAAAAAGTTTAGCCCTCTGTATATATAAAAAGAAAAAAAAGGACTATGCTCGTAGATCATAAGAATAAAGGAAAGCCTTAATTATAAAAACATTATTTTCATTCCAGAGCTGACACATTTCTTCCACATGGACAAAGTGAATTGATTTTAAATCACCATGTATGTACGAAGCTATACGTCAGAATGTCATAAAATTGTGACAAGCGTTTTTATAAATAAGGTTATTATTTTTTGAGAACTAATATTGGAAATATTTATTCTCGAACATTATTGCATAGATCAAGACGTTTCCTCATTTATAGGTTAAAAACGAACTGAAAACATCACATAGTGGTTTTGTATTTGTTTTTCTTTTTTTGTATGGTTATTTACAATGTGTTTGTTTCATTTTATAGGTGATATTATTTATTCGCTGCATCAGTTGGCCTTTAGATGACCTTTAAAAATTATATATTCCAACATGCAACAGTTAAGATGTGTAATTCGCGATTATGTTGTAATTATTGTAGCCAAAATAGCTTATCTCAAGGCCATTATTTATGGTAACATTGAACTGGAGTTTTTGCACAGCTCAGTGTAATATGACCGCTGACCGTTGCTAATGCGTTGTTAAGGTGCAGAAAGTCCATTAAGCTTTACGATTTCTGATTTTGTTAATTGATACACAATTAATTATCGAATTGATAAATATATGTTAGTTTTATATTTCTGCGCTTTCATAAATACTTACCTATCCGACCACATATACAGAGTGTTCCTATAATAAAACTTTTTACAGGTACATAAAACACATTTAGGAGTAGTAATATATTTTCAAATACGTTTACAAATGGTATATAGTCGCATCTAAGCACAAAACATCTCTGTACATAAACTTAAAAAAGAAAACAAAATGCAAATCATACTTAGGTTAAATGCCTTAAATACAAATAAATTTGAAGATTCACAATATGTAACAGAACATCCAAAACATGAAAAATTTAGAATATAATTATATAATGCATTTGCTTTAACAAAAAAATCTATATCTATGAAGTATTGAGTAAGGTTAACTATTGCATTTGTGTGTACATTTATCCTGAGGAAATTTTTAATCTACTTATAGAGATTACAGTACTTCCATCATTTATTCCAAAAATGTATACTGTTGCGTTCCCAAAATATAGCCCAAATGTGTAAACGTGTAAAATTTTTGTAATTTAGTTTTTCTTTGTCTTTCGTGTAATACCTTAATCTCTATGTTCTCTACAACTTTTGCACGCGGCCCTATTTACCCAACTATAAACGTCTGCAAATAAGAAAGATGTTCCTGTAAAATGAGGCTGAGCTTTATCTTCGTAGAACGGTGCAGATGAGCAGTTTGGGTAGCAATGAATCACAGTTAATGTCGACACGATAAATATGGCCACGCACACATTTGGCAAAAACTTGACAACAAATTTACTCTTGTATAAAACTCTGACATGAATTTGTACCTTGCAAACAGCACTATTGTTATTTAAAAAATATTTTACCATTTAATGGTTAACCACTTCTTCATAATGAGGATAGCTACATCTGTATTTACATATTGACAAAAGACAAGAACCATTTCGGTTTAACCGTCTACACAAGATTGTTGAATATAACATTCATTATTACTGTATATTGGTATGTATAGGTAGTGAATAATTTGTGCAAAAAATGTAACAAATTATCGGTCCACATTACTAATCTAATCAATATAAAAAATCTAACTAGTATTTTAATTTTGTAAGAGAAATTATTTCAAATCAGTCTTAATTTCGCACCAATTTTATATTTCCAATACTTGTTTTTTTTTTCCTCAACACGCAATATACCGAAATCTCGCGCACAACAATAATAACAACTACGTCCCCCTAAACAGTTCCATTCTGAAATTGAGGTATGACAGTTTATCCTGACAATAAATAAATTGAGGAAAAAAGTGTTGTGTGTATATGGAAATCAATCATGTTTTTACATACTAACGTTAATCTATATAACTGTACAACTTAAAATTATCATATTACATGATTAGAATAACTATATATTATTAGAGTATACAACTTTAACCACTTAAAAATATCCTTATGCAAACTATATTTTGTCAATCTTTTTTTGAGGTGCACCTTAATGTAGAGACACTCTTGTTTTATTTATTATTTATTTTTTTCGCAAAACTAAATATGTTAGGCTCACAACAATTACATATTAAATTTTTATAAATATCCTTAAAAATATAGTTAGCACAATTAAATTCTTATACACGTTAAAATTACGTTCTTCTCCTCAGATAACTAAAACTGTATTTACAAATCAAAAATATGCAACAACTATCATAAAACTTTTTAGGTCTACACGCTTGCTTCATAACTAATAACAGAAGATGACCAAAAAATATATAACTTAAAAGTTGACACCAACTTACAGACGCATACTCAGTAAATAAGTCAGTGTCAAACTGTAGGAACTACGAAATTTTTTCACCCCTTTCTTCACTCACACAAGCCGCAAAGATCGACCAAAACAAGGCGTTCACTATAATTAAAACAAAATCGAATTGTTACGAAACGTCGTTTGTACCGTCCATTCACTTTTACCCATACACAAAAAAGATGAAGATTGATATTTAGAAACTACAATCTACATGCATCTTTCTCTCTTCAATAATAAAACAAACAAACAAAAACAGGAAATATAATTATTTAAACTATATTTAAACAGATTATTTTTTATTAGAGGTAGTAGGTTTTATTAAAAACCTAAATAATTCACGTGCACGTCACCATATAAGTACACCGTCATATACTTTGTGTACAAACGATCAAAAAAATATATAAAAGAGATTTTCTTTTAAATAAATGAACACCTTGCAAAAAACCTATTTTATTTCGTCTATTAAATTTGTTTCCTTCTGCACTATTGTTGACTAGTTAGGAGTTTGCTTGAATTGAACTGGATACAGAATATTGGCAGACTTAACAAAAAAATTAAAAAAAAAAAACAAAAGATGTACAATATTTACTACTATATCTACAACACTGATGAATGATCTCTGCTTACCTACTTCGTTGTTCCGCGGTTGCACAGAGTAACAATTGAATAAAAAATATTGTCTTTTTAACACTATTATTCTGTTTATGTAGAAAATAATTGACATTATTATGGCTTTGGCATATCGGCAGTTAACATTTTAGTAAAGTGCTGAACAAACGCAACTCGACGAACAATCGAATGCGATAAGCAGAGACCTAGAAAAGATCACAATACGGTCAACTGTACACGGAAAATAAACTGGAACAGGAAGAAGCTGTCGACTGTTATAAACTATGGAATGGGTGGGTAGGCAGTACGGTATTGTGGATATGAACTGAACTAGGCAGTGGGCTGAATCTTCACACTTTCACGCATCCCTTTCATATGTCCTATGAGACATTCACGTTTCCAACAAATCGACATTATCACATAGGACTCACGTATCCATGTTAATACCCGAAAAAAATCACCGTTATATTAAAACGACTTAACTAATAAAAATTATGCACGTTATCGTTCTTCTACTCACTTCATATTCAGTTTTGCATACCTGGAAAATTGAAAATAATGTTAAGTACACAGTGAAAACCGCTTACACTTTTTTTATAAAACATAACGTAAATGATAAAAAAAATCGTCTCTGAAACACAGAAGAGACCATTCACAACGCAAACTTTTTGTTATTATAATGGATATTTGTTTTAATAGATTTTGATAAATCAGTAAATTACGATTATAATGATATAAAATACTTTGGTGTTTATTTAATTTTCGTGTGATAAAAAAATAAAATTTATAATTAAAAAAAAATAATAATAAAATTGAGTGAACTAATGGACTGCCACTTTATTTTACACAACTAGTAACATTTGTTTCAACAGCGGTCATGTAAGTATGTTGTCTTTCCAACTGGACACAAAACTTTTTATTAATTCACAACTTATTGCGATTAATAGAGGCACAAACATAAATTCATTTTTATCACCACAAAAGAAATCGAAGGGCGTTAAATCTGGACTGTGAGGTGGCCATGGACTAGGACCGATCCAGTTTTCATCATTAATGTTTTTCAGAATTAAAAAAAAACTGAACTATTTTCGCAAGCCAGCAAAGAAAATTGTTTCTGACACATGCATCATACTTCCACTGCGATAAATTAACCTTCTCGCGTCAAACTAAAAACAGTGGCATTTACAGGGTTTCAATATTTCTCCGCGGAGTTTTATCTGGAACACCTGTATATGATTTTGTGTTACCTGTAGTGTCTCGAAAATTCCGATTTAAATCACAGCTTTATTTCTTATTTGACTTCACTTAAGCACAACCCTAAAGTCTTGCTAACTCTTGAATTGAGTGCTCAATTCTTCTGTACCAAAACTAAGTTAGCCAAGATTCGGGACAAAAGGAACTAATAACTGGATAAAACATGACATATGCAACGAAGGTACGTAAACTACATGAACTTTAAACGTTATACACACATATTTCTTTCCCAATGTCTTTCAGGTTCTTCTATACACAAAAATCTTTTCCCAAACTAAGTTCTCCAAATTTAGCTTTCCTAACATGGGTAAAATTAACTAAAAAGTTTGTCAACAATTATCAAACATAAAATGTCAAAAAAATAAGCAGCAATATTGCAAAAATGTTTTGTGAAAAAACTAGATTCAGCATAACGAAATTAAAGAAATTTAAACTGGTGCCAGTTAGTTATGTAACTCTCAACGTTCGCTGATTATTACTGGCGATTTAACGATCTACTGACACACTAAAATTTTATTTTGGAAGAAAGTAAAATAATAATTTCAAATTCTGTCCTATAGTCAACAGCCCTAATTGCTTCTTGTAAAAAAAAGTGTCTTATTTTTGTAAGCTAACAAATTTCAGAGTTTAAATCTATAGTTATAGAAAAAACTTCGCTAGATACTCGGTTTTTAAACACTCGCCCCGCTTGTGATTAAATAACCTCGAGTCTAAAGAGGCGTTTATAAAACGTGTTACATAACATACAATTATGTCCGGATTTAAAAATTAGTTTAGTTACTTAAAATATAATGGGTCGTAATTACGTGTGCATTATTTTTAATACTTTGTGCATTAAATTTTATACTATGCGCAATAACATTTGTGCATTAAATTTACTATGTTGCGCCATAAGTTTTTGCATTTTGTGCATTATATTAAGTGCAAATTGGAATAATAAAATTATTGTTTCGGGCAATGATTTTCTGTACTGCGTGCATTATTGAAACTGTATAGAAAATAACAAAGAAAAATAGACCTGCTGTATTAAAATGTATTTTATGAATGCATACAAAATTAACAAAAACATAAGATATTCATAGCACAAAAGTAGTTAAACAAATAAAAAATTTTGAAAAAAATTAACAAAGAAACTTAAAATAAACATTCTTTCATCAAAAAATTCAATTACTAAACATTATTAATTTATTGAATAATAATTAAAATGCTTTTTGGGTTTAGAACTGGCGCGAAATGCAGCACATGACACGTCTTTTAAAGAGTGGGAGTGTAACTGCCCATTCACAATGGACATAAGACATAAGAACGAGCGCATAACATAATTTACGTTTTTGGTTTGTGTCTGGCTTATGCTTATCTACGTTCACAGTGGACAGAGTGAACTCTGTAAGAATTCTTAAACTGCGCAAACGCAGAACGGAATAACTCCCGGCTAAACATAGAAACGGCTAACCTCAAACTGAGTCAATCAAAATATCTAACCTACAAATTCATACGATATTCGAACTTGACAACTCGCAGTACAGAACAGACTCGCAGTGTGAAGCTTTGATTATAATTTATATAATATAATCAAAGGTGTGAAGTGCCAAGTGCCAACTGTCAAAGGGAATTCAATAGCAGCATTCAAAAGTCCCTAGATTTTAACATAATTTTGACATAATTCGTGCACAAAGTTGAACTTATTTCAACTTTGTGTACGCCCATAAGGATTACATAAAACGTTCATAAGCATAAGAATTACGTTCGTCCACTGTGAACAGGGGTACACGTTTTCCATCGTTTCAACTTTATGTATTATTGTAAGCTTTATGTACTTGTTATGCCTTATGTCCATTGTGAATGGGCAGTAATGCCCACTTTACTGTGAACTAATGCACATTTTAGTAATTTACGGAACATTTGAAATGCTCGTTTATTTTTTCTCAAATACAAGTTGATTTATTAAAGAAACAGTTATTTTTATGAACGAGCAAATTTAATTAAATAATTCTAAATTGCATTATTTATTGCGCAGATAGAAAAAATAATCTGCCATTATTTTATTTATTGCCCTTTCAGTTTTACGAATGCTGAAATAGTTTCTTCTGTGCAGAAATGTTTTTAATAATGCTGTGACTTATTTCACATTTCATTAAAACTAGTGCGCATTTAAATTGTTCTCAAATATAATTCTTCTCTCTCCCCTGAAGAACAATCAATTAAACAACTCTAGTTATATTAAATGAATAATACAAAAAATTATTCTAGACATTTTATCTTTTGTGATAGTCTTATACAGGGTCATCAAAATTGATTGAGAGAGTTGGTACCCCCTGTTTTTGTCGTGAAGTTTGTCAACCTTATGACAGATTTGTTTAAGGTTATATGGCAATGAATTCAGTGGCGTGACAAAAATTCGAAACTTCAAATCTGACAACTAATATTTTTACCAAAAAAAAAAATCGAAAAAAGACGCCACTGAGTTTTGAAATTTGAAACTTGAAACTTCAAATCTGACAGCTAATATTTTTATACAACTTAATAAACCAAATTATTCAAGTTCAGGTTTACCAACTCTCTCAATCAATTTTGATGACTCTGTATATTAATATTAAAAAAAAAAATGACTCGATTGATTCATTGTTCAATTTTCTCAGTATATGCTTAACTTCGACTGTTTATGTTTATACATCGAAAGAATTCGACTATTAGCACATTTAGATTATAAGCATCGGCGGAGACATTTGTATTAAAAGAAAATGAAATTTGATTTTGTCTCAACGCAGAGGAGAGGACTAATTAATTAACTAAACAAACTCAGTATTTTTTTTCTCTCAAAAAACTAGATGCCAAACGTTCAGAATACACAAATCTGGTAAAATTGTAAAATGACGTCATAATTTCTAGAGGGCCAAAAACAGAACAATTTCAAAGTTAAATTGCATACAATTTTGATTTCTTTCCCAAAAATTTGGATGCCTAGCGTAAAAACTCAGCACAGATTCATTACAGTTTCCAAGTTAAATTGCAAAATGTTACATAATTTTGATATTTTTCCAAAAATCCGAATGTCCACCTATAAAATATTCGTAACATACATATAATATTTGATAACAATCGGTCCCGTTTTTTTTGAGGCTCTAATAAAGATTGACACAGACGACAGAGAGAGGGAATCACGATACCTAATTTTTCGTACTCGTAAGGACATGAAATGTCGAAAAAACATGAAAGTAGCCACTCATCAGACGGAGCCTATTACAATACTTCCTTAGCTTACGCTCGGGAAGTAAAAATAAGCTTTCTTTAGAAACTAATTGTTTGTAATTTCTTCTTGTGATAACTGTGCAATAGGTCTAAACGCGTTCTGGCAATCTTAATACCGACAAAATAATACTTCCGATTGTGGAGATTTCTTACTTGGTGGTTGTTTGTCTTGCGGTTTAGTTTAAAATAACTATAGTAGATTTTTTCCACATTTAAAGGGAAAACAGCAACTATTAATCTTTGAAAATGAAATGCATTGTTACTAAAGGGGCAATTCTCTAAAAACTTGTTAAATTTAAAGGGTGTTAAACTGTAAATTTCGATATTAACAAGTTAAATTCGTAAATCTGATTGGTTGTTTATTTTTTAACAACCTTTAAATTTTAACAGGTTTGATTCAGAAATTGAATAATATTCTACCTTTTAATTCTCCATTTTTACGCTATTACCTGCAATATATTCTAATTTAGAATCAAAACGCAAACTAGTTACTTCGAAAGAATTTGACCATTACCATGTCATATCGTATTAGCGGCGGCCTTAAATGTATGCATATGTATTAAAATAAACTGAAATTTGATTGATTTTGTCTCTCCAACACAGAACAGAGGATCAATTAACGAAGTAACCATACTTGGATTTTTTTGTCCAAAAAGTACACCTAGATAATAAATAGCAAGATAGCCCAAGAACAAAAAAAATCCTGTGTTGGAATTGAAAATTTTGTATTAGGAGGTGCACAAGTATGTTATCTTATAAAATTTAAAGCCTACTTATTATGAAAAATTTTGAGGGGATGTCATCACGTTGTTGGTGGGGATGATTATCAAAATTTTGTTAGCATTTAACCATCTACATGATATTTCTAATATACGTACAAAATTTGACAACAATCGGTCCACCAGCTTCGAAGATTACGTGTCTAATAAAAACGGATACAGACAAGACAGACGAAAACGGGGACCACTTTTTTTGTACCGTGGGAGTAATGAAACGTAGAGAAAACATAAAAGTGGTCATTCGTCCGATGAACTCGATTACTACACTTCCTTAGCTTACGCTAAAGTAAAAGACGCAAAACGAAAATTTTTAAGGAGGGCGTCGACAGCTCTGCAGAAGAAATATATGGACTCAATAAATTAACAAGACAGGATGGTGGAACGAACAAGTAAAAAATGAAATTTTGGGAAAACATAACACGGAAACAATATCTAAGTAACAAACAACAGAAAATTATAAGCCGTATAAGAAACAAAACTGTAATAAAGGAAAATGTAAAGAAGACGAAAAGGAAAAATTGAAAAATTTTTGAACAGTTTTTACATCAAAAGAGCAAAAAAAAATACGAAACTGTTCTATAGAACACTAAAAGGATGAATAAATAAGGAAGAACCAAGGATTAATGGACTACAACATAAAAACGAAGTATTAATAACAGAAGATTCAATCAAGGACGAAAAATCAAAACAATCAAAAACTAGGAAATGGATGAAAACCCAACAGAAACTCAGGAGGAGAAAATATTAACGTGGGACGCAATCAGAAGAATCAAACTAAGTAAAACGTCAGGATATAATGACAAAGCGACGAAAATGTTCAGAAAAAAAAAAACAAAACTAATGGTGTAGAGTTTTGTTGTGTAGAAGTGGAAACTGATCCTAATGAGAACGGCAGAAAAGACGAAATAAAAAATATAGAAATAGAGAATAACCAGCACAAGAGAAGTGGACCAACCAAAAGTTGAAATAAGGACGTTATAGATATCCTGAGCAACAGAGGCAAATTTTGGAAGGTAGCAACAAGACAGTAAAAACTGGAGAAGCTTTATAAAGAAGAAACTCAACTCAACCCAAACCTTGACTCCTAACGATATAATATGAGGACAAATCACTGCATAAAATAATAAAAATATATGCAGTTTTGAATATTTTCAAAAACTTAGGTTATAAAATTGAAATGTGGCTGTACAAAACATCAAAAATTGTTTTGTTTTGTATTCACGTAAAAATGAACTAATGAAACTATTTTTACGTCATATTGCTACACTATGTGTTTAACTAAATTTTCAATAAAGCGTCACAATAAAAAGTTATCAATTTTCTCAAAAACGATTCACTTATCTGAGTTTTCTTAAAATAAAATAACCCAACTCTAAAATCAAAATCGTGAGCTAAGCAGGCAACACCCTGTATATTTGCCACACTACATTAATCCCCATGTATTTTCTGTGTTTACAAAACAACAATGCAACGAATAAATTCACAACTGACATTCAAATCATCAAAGACACCACATGTCAAAATCCAATATCAAAGGCTCTAGTGAAATGAAAAAGGGGCACTAAAAATGGACACAACCAGAATTGAAATTATTGTACACATTGAGATGCTGATTTTTTAAGATGAATCGAAGCCAAAATAAATAACTTGACACAATGACGGAAATATTACACTTTTAATGTTACTTTCGCCTATGAGTAACTCAGAACAAAGTAATAAGTAGTAATTTAAGTCAACTGACTTCAGTTTGACACACACACAATACAACGACGCCGAAAAAAATTATAATAACAATCGTAGTTCTGAGGTATTCAGCAATTCACAAAAAGCAGTGTCGTCCTTTATTTAATTTTCATTTTAATGTTTACAACTCAACGTCCCAGAACTGACGTCATGCTATAAATAACACGGAACGTGCGCTTAGATATTATCTACTGCCAAATTAAAGGATCACCTGATACACTTTTGGCACTTCATATTTTCCAAAATAGCACCTCACAATTTTAAAATGAAATTTACAGAGCCCAAATTGTGTGGACGATACTCTACCAGACAATAAATTATAACTTGCGTAGATAAAAATATCTTATTTAGTGGAAACGATTGTCATGCAAATAGAACAGAAATTACACTATATCAAAAAATCTTAGCATCGTAATGGTACACTTTTTCTAAAATTTCTTATTATTGATAGGGGATTCTTATACTTGGCTTTTCCAAAGCAAGATTTATTCTCTTTACTTACTTCTAATCTGTTTTCGTATTAAACCGTCAATAGTGAGGCCATTCATTTTAAATTTACAACTCAAAAATTATCAACACTGAAATGAATTTATTCTTAACATATTTGAACACTATGTTTTTAAAAACAATGACCATAATGAAAATTTTGGCTCTCACCATAATTGATGTACCTAATTTATATCCAATTTGTAACCAGTTTCACCAAGTCTCCACTTAGTACCAATACTGTTAAATCTAGCGGATGTTTTTAATGAACATTATTTTACTGACTTTTTCTTTATAAACCGATTTGAAAAAAAAAATCTATGTTTAAAAAATAATTTCTGCTTCACTTACCTTTCACAAACATTCAACAATTCACATTTTAAGCTCTTCAGATGTCCTGAAGTTAGAGAGTGTCTTTTTAATCCTTAAAGCTGTCAACCTAGCCGTGGCGTTGTGATACCAACACTCTTTCATCAATTTTAACATAATGCGCAGAGCTTCACAACTCTGCCAACGATTTGGTATGTTAGGTCTTTGTTTCTCTACACAAACAACCCTGCGAAAAATCCGATTTGATACCATTTCACGAACCCAAATACACACTCACCGTCTCATTTCTTCTATTGTGGGATCAGATGGCACAGCATCATAAAATGGTAATTGGTACTCATCATAAATACCGCCCACATTGCCCCTCCGTGCAATTTCCCAAAATATTAGGCCCAAAGCATAAACATCGGCCCGCTTGAATGAATCGAAATGATTCACATTCATGGTTTCGTCGAGGACCTATACAAAAAATTAGTATTTGTATTAAAAATATGGAGTAGAGGTTACCTCTGGGGCCATGTAACGTTTAGTTCCCACCCTGTTATTTAGTGGAATATCGACTGTGTCGGTGGTGGAGTCATGACGTACTGCTAAACCTAGGTCACCGATCGCACAAGTGAAATTTGATTTGACTAAAATATTCTTCGACTTCAAATCACGGTGAGCTATGGCTGGTTTACCTGTAGATATTTTCTCATTAGATGTTTTTAGAACATAAAGAAAGAAAAAACCTTGAGTTCCCATAATGTCCATGTGCAAATGCGCCAAACCAGTGGCAATGGACAAGGCCATTCGGATCATACCGTTGGTGTCCATGGTATTTCTACCCAGGAAGTCGAAAAGGGATCCATATTCGTGGTAGTCGGTGATGAGCCACAGCTGAGTCCACGTTCCATTATCTAATAAAAGTATTATCGAGAAACAAAAATAAGTTCATTTTGTGATTTCAAAATTAAGTTGTAAAATGTTGTTATAGTTTTAAATCTGAATCTCTGGGGTAAAAATCAAGATGGATTCATAAATCACAAGTATATTACATATGTCGTAATAAATGTAATTATTTACCTTTATTATCAGCTGCGATGAATCCCAGAATATTGTCATGCCTAAGCATAACAGTCTGATATATTTCAGCTTCTCTAAACCACGACCTCTCCTCCCTTGAGCTGAATATTTTAACAGCAACGTTTTCGCCCCTCCACCGACCCCTCCACACTTCACCAAAGCGCCCTTGCCCAATTATTTCAACAAGTTGTATTTGTCGGGCTATGCTGCGTTGGACTAACAACGGTAGGCCTAAAAAGACAATCACTAGTAGGTATCAAAAAATGAACACCACTGCACTGCCATACCTGAACCACTACCACTTGTGGTCATTTCTATCATATGCTGCAGACTTACACCCTTCAAAATGGGGTGATCTGGAGCTTCAATACTATCTTCACCATGTCGAAGATGATGATGCATACCACTTCTTTTACGTTTGGTTTTGTACAAGTAAAAAGCGCCCAAAATCGCCAAGAGAAGCAGTATCGAAGAAATGACGATTATTAACGTTATTTCCGATGTGGAAAAGGGGCTCTTCGGGACTGATTAAAAGTTTAAATCAGATATATGTTTCTCGCATAAGTTGTAATTAATATGAATATTAACTTACCTGGCAACCAGTAAGTATAAAAAGCACACAAAAAGCAAAGCACTGCAAGCAAAAGGTGCAACGGAAAACCAGACAATGTAAAACAAGAATTTTGTTGTAGAGTTAGTGTTTGAATTAGGTATTTATGTTTCTTAAAGACAACAAAATTCTTATTCGTGCAAAATACAGTTATTTAGAGTTACGTTAGTCAAACGTGGTAAAGCAGACGTCACAATATAGAACTGTGGCCAAAAAATTGAACACTGATTTAAACCGTTTTTCGCTGTATATAATTCATTAAAAACACTACATTTACATTAGCGTCTCACTTTTTTGGCCAGAATCATACAAGTTGATAAAACTTGGCATATAATTTTAGTCTACTGAATATCGATCCTTTACTGTAGTCGTTAATATTACTATGCAATATAACGGTTAATTTGTTAAATTAATTATGGTCTGTAAATTAAAATTTGATTTCCTTTACTCTTACGTAGTTCTGGATTTATAATCAGAATTTATTTCTAATTGGTTAATAATAAACACTTGTTGCTCACTGAACAATAGCAATCAGAACTAATACCATTACAACTAAGACATATTTGTCAAGTTATGACGTAAACCAATATTCATTTGAAAAAAAAACACCGTATTATTTCTAAGCAATGAATAATGGCAGCATCTCATGCATGAAAAAACTGGACTGTATGCAACACAAAATGAAATAATTCAAACAATTCACGACGCCGAGACAATGAATAAACAGAACAATATTTGCAAACCAGAATTTCGAACGGCCCAATGATTGACGATACTTGTAATAGACACAGATGAAGCCCTTTTAAATTTCAATTGAATATCTAACCTGGTGGCCTAATATCGTCTGGCAACGACAAAGTTATATTAGCGTTACAAAAATCTGTATCGTTACAACACGATGATGCCATTTTGGTATATTGCGGATGATTGGTAACTATGGCAAATTCGTAACAATAGCCGAGTGACATGTCGACCAAATTTACCAATTCTGGTATACTTTTTTTGGGAATACATCTATAAACAGAAAAAAAAACTTTACATATTAAATAGTCGGTTTGGATCCTTTATAGTAACCAGATTTGTAGTTACAGATCCGCAACTACAAATCAGGTGGAAACTTTCGGATGCTGAAAAAAACGTAACGTCTAAACAATGCATGCTTATTATTACTGAAGCTGGGTTTGCGCAACTGCCACCAATTACTGTGTAGATCTGAAATAAGTAACTAACTATACAAAAGGTGCATCACACAAGTTACATGACTTAGTTGAAGATCTCTACATGGATAGATGTGATTCACCTCTTTTTCAAGTGGTGGTTACTGCTATCTAACAATTATTGCTAAGAAGTCATATATTACAGGCTATGCTAATTACAGCAGAAGTAACTACAACCGTGTTAAAAAAAGATAGGATAGGCTAAGTGCTGCTGAAGTAAATGAAATTGAAGAAAAAAATATAGAATGTTTGAAAGGTGGCACTGCACGTTTTACCTTGGGGCTTTGGCATTAGTTGGGGTGAAAGGTGAGCATTGCAGAAATCTTCGTGTTTGCAGCACTCCATGACAAATGTAGTATTGAGGGACTTCTGCTTATGGCAGAACAAGGGATTGTTATGAGGAACTTGTAAGGCCCGATCCAGGCACCTAAATTTTATTCGATTCATCAACAACAGCCAATTACATAACCACAAAATAATTTACATTTTTTCTTAACCAGCTACATGAACAATCAAAAAACAATTTTCATATTTTCCACATTTTTTTTTAAATTTGCACTTAAACGTCGAACTTTCTTCTTGATAGCCAGTCTTGGGGATCGAGGAAATGGGTGGGAAAAAGGACTTCGACGCGAGGTTGGAGACTAGCGCTAAAGTAACACTAAATACTAAACCACTCTTGTCAGTTGCAATTGAACCACGTAAGCTGCAACTGGAAGTTTCGTTAACAAAAAAGAAACAAAAAAAAAAAGAAAAAATAGAAAACTGTTAGTGTGAAAACTTGCATTTAACACAGTTATTAAACCGTTAGCGGTATTATAGTATCAGGACTTTGGGATTGCCACACTGTTACCTGCACTCTCGAAATGATGGAGTTCATTATTATGAGGCACCCTTGCTAGTTGTGCCTTCTGATGTGCATTACAAAAATCCCTGTCACGACAGCATCTGGTCGTGGGACTGCTGCACCACCGGGGTTCCTCAGGTGGGAAAAACTGGCGTTTGTCTAAACAGCTGGCGTGGTTTTTGACAGCCCGTTAGTAATTTAGCAACGCTCATAAGATTTCTTTTAAATCAATTGGTTACTAATACGATACTTTTTTAAAGAATATGTTTCAACAATGTCTAACGAGGTACAGCTGTGTTTTAGCATTTTCGCAATCAATATTTTTTATGTAAAATTCAATCATTATCTGACAGTTTCCTCTTTAGAAGGGATACAACAAAACGTTATTAAGTGTTATCACATTGCCAATTATTTTCAATCAGCAAGCCCAGATGCAATTTTACAAATAACTCAGTACTCTTCCACACATTACCGTCAATTGCTAAGCACTGCTAATAAATATTCATGTCATAAACGGCTTTTCAAATCACAAATGAACTAATAACATAATTCGTCATTAGGGATGATATCTCGATCACTCCTAATTTGATAATTTTTTTATTAGTGCTCTAAATATCAGTGACAATATATTCTTGTCGATTTTAATATTACTGAAGACTAAAGACATAAAGAGAACCGCAAGCAAACTGTATAACGTAGAATCTTTTTCCAAAAGCCTACATAACTTAACAAAATAAGGGCCAATTAAAAAAACGCAGATATAGAAGTATAATTTTGTACATTCTAAACAAAATTTACTTAACAGTAATTTTAGGGCGACGTCATCAAATTGTTGGTGGGGGATCATCAGAAAAAATATTTGTAAAGTACAAAAATTACCAACAGACAGGCAGAAACGAGCTATGAAATGTCGAGAAAACTTGGAAGTAACTATTCCTCAAGTGAACTGTATTAATTTAAATTGATTTTAATAAATATATAAGCAACTTCTTAAGGACATAAAAAAATAAGTTGCATCCTATATATTAATTGTACTGCTATATAATCGGTTTCAATTTTAATTTTTGTCACTCACAATTTAACAATGGCTCCAATAGACAAATGTTTTTTTTTCAACTACAGTGTATGTCAATGTGTTAGTTCCACTTTAATTTGTGTTAATTTTGTAAAGGTTGAAATATTTTAAAACTCATTAACTATATTTGCAAGGTATTTCATATTAAAAAGACCCTCTGACTGTAAAAGAATACAACCGAAATTATGAAGTCACTGTTAAGAGATAAGGTTATTTGTGACGGTTCCATCGTAAATAAGTTTATCTCTTTTAAGCTTATTTACGATGGAACCGTCACACTTAAGCTTAAGAGTGGAAACACTTTGCGAAAACACACCAATAAAACGTCACAGTAAACGTAAACGCATCTGGAAGGGTCCACTGGCGAATTTAAGGGGAGGAAACTCATCATTCTCTTATGTGATTCCTTCGTGTTTTAACCTAACGAAACCATTTCAGAATGCAAATGATAGCCCTCTGGTCGAGACGACTTAACATGTTCTTCTCACAGTATTTTCACTCTATCCATTTTAACGATGGAAAGTTCATTACACTTTTATAAATTATTGCCTTCCTTGATTTTTTTCTTTGTATTCAGCTTTATTCAAATATATAAATATAACACCAATCTGTAGATAACTAATATATACAGGTACATATTATTTACGGTTTCAATTCCCGAGGGATGGTTAGGAGAATTATTATAACGGAGTCATTTCGATATAAACTTTCAAGTTTTCTTGACATACGAAAATGGTAAACCACCAAGCAAAATTTATCTCTTCATCCTGTCCAAAAAATTCTATGACGTCATCTCAAATTATTATAACATATGTAAATTTCACTTAAGATTCTTAAAAAAAATTAAACTTAAATCACTAATTCATACAAGTTAATTTTTTTGCAATATTTGATTAAAAACCGAACATTTTGTTTACTGCACATACTCAGACTAGAACTATTTAACGTCGTATAAGCTTTTCCTTGTCTATTATCGGCACATTACAAGATTACATATTATTATATCAAAATTTATTAGTATTCGCTAAAAAAACCGTTACGTTTTTAATATAGATCTTCCCTCACTTCTCGAACACAACCAATACAGTTTTTATTGATGGATAGTAAGTATGTCCTTACGTTTCTAATACATAGAGCATAAACAATTTAAAAAAAATAAGGGTGCATTATATCCATAACTTTAAATGAGTGAAATGTTTATTATTTAAACCGTAGACGAATACTTGAAAACATGAATAACTAATAATACCACAGACTGCTGATTAAAAAATTAAATTTTTCGACACTTTTGAGAACTACTCTAAAAAAATGTTACTTATACCCAATGCCACTGCTAATTCTATTGTAGCAACTTGTAATAAATTATTCAATGCCCCACACAGCATAACTCATTAAACTGTTGAAAAATAGCAGTAAATAAAACGAAAAGAAAAATACTGTAGGAATCGAGGACTGTTTTGGTTAGTGGTCATTACTGACTGGCTACCAGTATTAAATACACATAAAATAACTGCGCTCAATTTCAAATCTGGCTTACTCATGAATATGCATTCAATATGCAAACATAAACATTAACAATAATATCCATATTAACAATAATATCTCCAAGTAATAATTATTCTAATGAAAACATTTTTTATAGTATTTATATTCTACAGTGGAGAAAGCAGTTTATATGTAGGTGTTTTAAAATTTATAAGGAAATTGCATAGAATAAAGCTTTCTCATTATAGTTATCTTGTAACAGATCAATATTACTTGTCATTTAAATTAATTTCACCAGTGAACCGTTATTGAAAATTAAATTAAGAACCTAAACAATCTACACAAAGCATGTAGCAACTTTTACGTCGTTTTAAATGAGTAATAAACGAATGTAGAGGGAACAACCAATGATTTTACAAAAAGTTTGGCAATAAATTATTAAAACTCAATAGTATTGATCATTTGATTAGCTGCATTTGATCTATTAATAACGTAAAATTCAATTTTTTATGACTGCAGTTATAAAATACATTACCAACCAACCATGTCTACCTTGATTTTATTACATTGATTATCAAAATACCGAAAAATTCAACAATTTCTTAAATTTCTAGTTTAAATTGTTTACTCTGCCTCGAAAACACACACTCCTGAAAGTTTGTAAACTTAACAAAAAATTAGGCAAATCAATTTTATCTCGTGGGAACTCACACAAGACAGTTTATGGATAGTTTAAAAGGTGGTTAACACATACCGATAATTATGCTCGATGCCTCCCTTGGTCGTCAAGTAGGTTGTCGTAAAACAGTACCCATCTGTATCACAGGTAAAGTTCGTTTCCTTACACACCTCACATTTACATTTGAGTGATTGAACCCCTGAAACAGGTTAACATATTATAGAGAAAACATCCAAATGCAGAAACATGTGGGTAGGTATTTGATATTAAAATGAGATACTAATTTAGTAACCCTGAACTTGTTTGTAAAAAATAGTGGGTTACGCGAATATCTATGCAATAATAAAACTAAATTAAATACCTGCGATTAATTGGCAGGTTTGAGATGTTTTGATGTATACATCGAAATGTCAAAAATACTTACCATTATTGAATTGGCCCAGCCAAAATATGCAACAAAACGCTAACAAGCAACTCCTGTACATGTTATGGTGTATTCTAGAACGCATTGTAAACAACAAAAAGTCTATTCCAACGAGAATTCACGTGGATTATCATAATTATTTACATGTTCGCAGAAAAAATTTCGGCGAAAAACCATAGTTGTCTGCCATTAGGAGGACACTTCAATTATTTGATAATTGTTTACACTTCCACTTTGTACTTGACGTTGACATTATGAATGTATTTTACACAGTGTCACTATGTGGATATAAAACCATGACAACAACAAAACACCACTTTTTTAAAATAAAATTAAAATCATTTAAAAACTAGAATGACCGAATCAAAAATATCAGCCATGTCAGTGATCAGTCTTGCTCACTTGCTCTTTACTGCGTACTACGTCGTATGAACTATAGAGGGCGCTAAAATGACAGCTGGCGCTAACTGGGTTAATTCTGTAGAGATGGCGCCATGGCCAAATCAACTGATAAACTAAATTACAACACTGCAGACATGTGGTAAATCAGTGGTAAATCATAGAGGTAGAATGACCTCGACCTCCACGTACAAATAATTACCCTTATGTACAACCGCTAAAATTTTTCAAAAACGAGACAGTGACTTTGTCAAAATTATTTAATTTGTTCAACAATACATTAATTAAACCCTAATTGTTAAATTTTGAAGTATATGTGAAGACTAGTAGTCCAGTCTGTGGTCCATTTTTCTATAACAGCGACATTACACTGTGTACAATAAAAACAATTTTATATTATTCAAAAAATGCTCGTGATTAAAATACTGATTTTATTGTATTCAAACAAACCTACCATCATAGTTTTACCACCATCCATAACCGTCCTGGTTCCAACACCTACTGACATTTCAGTTTCCAAAAATGAGGTCTGATTTGGAAATCTTTACTCACAAAATAAGCATAAATAAAAATATAAATTGCACATTGTGGTGTCCCAGTTTGAATTAACATTTCGCACTGAAAGAAAAAAAACAACGCCGCGAAACCGCATTTGAATAATTTGAAACATTTGATTTCATTCTTGAAAGCAGAGGATTTTTGTTCTGTCTATTGCTGATTTCAACAGTTTTCCCCTCTTACTAGTTTGGTGATCGAATTTAAATCAAAATTTTCGCGCTGAAATTAATTAACAGCGGCACGAAATCACATTTGAATAATTTTAATTTAAAAAAAGAAAAAAAAAAGAATTTAAATCATAAATCGTTAAACACAGGCAACCAGGTGTACGTTAACGCTTGCTGGATAGTCGGACAATTATTAGCGCTAGAGAATTTTAGTTAGAGGGTTGGTAGAGACAGAACACTGCATGGCGGAGCGTCACTCTGAATGGGTCTTTGTGAGTGTAAACACGTGGTAAGAGCTAGGTTTAAATTAGTTGGTTTGGTAGTTAATAAAATGGGAGGAAGCCTTTGTTTAACGACAATCAATCGTAACCGACGTCACTCTGTTGTCCCCAACCCGCGCGGTTAATCCTTGCGGCCTTTTAATCGAAAAATTGCGGACTTCCGTTCAACGCGAAACACGTGCTGTAAATTTGTTTCATTGTTTGAAAATTCACCAATCAAGTTAGTTTTTCTTAATCGTCAGCTCGTGCTAAAACAATTTAACAATCAGGATTATTTAAATAAACCACTTGCTAGAAGAATTCATGAAATTCACTTAGTCAGGAAAACACCTCGTTGTTTAATTACGAATAAGTTTCTGGATGCATACATATACGTAAGTGTTACATTATAACACTTCTTAATTCTTCACACAAGATTGCTAATAGTTTACTGCCATTTACGGCAGTTAAACAAGTTCATTATACTGCGAACTGGCGGGCGGGTTAACAATAATTTCTTCCCTTAGGCGGTTATCATCGTTATTATCGTCGCTATCATGATTATTTCATCGAGGCTGGTCCTCACAACGCCGTAGATTGCTTACCTCATTGAGGCATGCCCTCACAAAGCTACAGATTAATTACATCATCGAGACATGCCCTCACAACGCTACAGTTTGATTACTTCATCAAGGTTCGTCCTCGCAACGCTAGAGATTAATAACATCAACGAGGCTTATTCCTCTCACCGCTAAAATATACATCATCGAGGCAATTCCTCGCAACTATAAAAAAAAAGCCACCCAAACGCTTTTTCCCTCGGATCGATGACTCGATATTTTTGTGTTTGTTTATTATGCGTTTTGTTGGGGTAACCAGTTCGCGGTATTTTAAACTCTCAAAGTAAATTGTTATTTTGAAGTAACCAATCACTTAGATCTTGATATAATTTGACACAATGTAAACTCTTTGTTTGAATCGTTGATAAAGTGTGGCAAATATTAATTTCATGTAAATTTTGTTAACTTTGCAAATTTTCACCTCATACAATATTTCTCTATTCTCACAATTTTAACCGCAGTAATTTTCCTTTGTTGTACAATTTTCATTGAAATGTTAATACCAGAGTTATTAGAGATTGCACATTTAAAAATGGAATTGACGTTAAATAACACAGGAAACGTGGCAGAAGCGAAGTGCGGTTCCTAGTCGAGCTGGCGAGGTTTATCGTGTCACCTGTACAAGTCCACAGGTTTGGATAGATTCAGGGGCGGCCGCCGATGTTGTAACGTTCTAGGCTTCGTGCTAGCCTAGAACCACCTACGGGTCTGGCGACCGTAATGGCCTAGTTTAGCACAGCATGATCGTAATGGAGGTGTGAGTGCGGATAGGCTTTGCGACAGATAGAATCACAGTCGTGGGGGGAGAACAGCCCCAGACCGGTAGCCCCAAACTCCGCTTGTGCTAGCACGCCCTAGGGGTACTTTTGTTGTGCTCCTATTAACTGCCGTAACTTTAAAAATCTGACACCACACGCCCGCAATAAATTGTGTATTTGCATCAGATTTTGCTTTGTTTTATTAAATTTGTGATATTTAAATATTTGGACTGATTCCAAACAGATGTATAGGACTTTGCGTTTGTTCGTTTTTCATATGTGTATGTCTGTCAATTCGCGAGTGTCTTTTTTTTCATATATCTTAAGGTGTTTGAAATGTAATACATCCGTGAATATACGATATGGGGTTTTTGGGCCGAGGAGTAAATCCTCGCAGCTTCTTTCCTCCCGAGAGGGGTGCCGTGGTAGCCCCTCCAAAACAATTTTGTCTATTATTTCTTGCGCTCTCGAATCACACGTAGTGTATGCACTTGTATAAAAGAATGTCTTCCCGCCACTTTTCAAAAAAAAAACACAACGTAGGTTCCAATTTGTTAGACGATCACAGCCAAGGTCAAACGTTGAATTTTTAATTTTTTCGCGGGCCTTTCAAACTTTTTCAAAGTCAATTAAAGACGGGAAGTTTGGGTTAACACACTAGTGAAGAAATAAACAATTTACACTCCTGCGTTTACACTTTGATGTAAGGACACTTGTGCACATGTCTTATCGGCGGCCATATTGTTGTGACCGAATCTGAATCAAATTTTTGCGCTGAATTTAATTAACAGCGGCGCGAAATCACATTTGAATAATTTGAATTTGAATAAAAAAATTGAATAAAAAAATCGTTAAACATAGGCAACCATGTGCACGTCAGCGCTTGGGGGTAGTTGGTAGTTCGCTAGGGGATTTTTAGTTAGAGGGCGATAGTAGACAAGAGAGCGGGATGGCAAGAGCATGGTGAAAACGTCATGATTGTTTGGTTCAGTGTTGTGTGAGCATGGTGAAAAGACGCTGTAATTTAGCTGGGTTAAATTAGTTGGCTTGGTAGTTAATAAAAGGGAGGAAGCCTTTGTTTAACGAAAATTAATCGTAACAATGACGTCACAGTTTTCCTCAATACGCGCAGCTAATTCTTGCGGATTTCTAATCGGAAAAAGTGCTAATTTTCGCCCGACGGTACACGTGCTGTAAATTTGTTTTATTGTTTGTTAATTCACCGATCAGGTTAGGATTTTAATCGTTAACTGGTGCTAACACAATTTAACAGACATTAGATTTGTTTAAACAGAATTTCACTAAGAGATTTCATGAAATTCACTTAGTCAGGATAACACCCTTTGTTTACAAGTTATGAATGAGGTTTCGGATGCTGATATTTAAGTGTTAATATATGTAGTTAGTTTAACGACGATTTCTCTCTTTATCTGTGAGATTAAATTCAGAATGGAGGAATAAACAATTTACCTTGCATATTTTGTATTTTGATTTAGGAGCACTTTTACAACTTTTGTATTCACCACTTTGTATTTGATCGTATTCCGCCATAAAAAACACAACGTAGGGTTCTACTTTGTTGACAACTTTGAAAGTTTCCAGGGTTTTAAAATTTTGGTCACTTATCAATTTTGCGTGGATGTTTGGCTTAATGCAGCTTTTTTAAAATAAAATTAAAATAATTCAAAAACTAGAATGACCGAATTAAAAATATTTGCCGTGTCCGTCATAAGTTTTGCTCACTATTTCGTATGAATTATAGAGGGCGTCAAAATGACAGCTGGCGCTACTTGTTTGAACTTCGTAGAGATGGCGCCAGAGCCAAATCAACTTGTACGTTTTAAAATGACAACTTATGGTGATTACCCCGTATGAGCAAAGCGAACATTATTCCCTCAAACTACATGTAGCGTTAATAATAACATAAAACATTGATTTATTTACTACTTTATTATAAAAATTGCACTTACATTATTTACCACAAAAATAATTTTATATAAATATTCAAAAAATACTCATGATTAAAATACTGATTTCCAAACCATCACCGCCCAATTTTTATTGTATTACTGTATTTAAACAAACTCTATCGTCACAATTTTACAACCGTCCACAACCGCCCCAGTCCCAACACCTGACTTTTGAGTTTGCAAAAATGAGGTTTGATTTGGAAATCTTTACTCACAAAATAAGCACAAATAAAAATATAAATTGCACATTCATAAATAAAATAAAATTTATAATTTTACTTTTAAACAATGAAGCATAAAATACAATGAACTCTTGCAAGAAAAACAACTAAAATTTAAAAAAACTCTGGATTACAACTAAAACACAAACACATTGTGCACTACGTTCGCACTTAAAGCTATTAAAAATAAACAAATCAGTTATGTAAAAAATTGTTCCAAACTTGTTCCTTCATTGTAGACTTTGCAGATAAGTTACATTAAGTTGGCCCAGCACAAGGAATGTTGAAATTATTTCTATGATTATGTTAAAATGCTGCTGTATCAAACTTCGTAGAAAAAAGTGTTGAACTAAATTTGAAAAATTTAAGTTACGAAACTGAATTAGCACTTGTACCGTTTTATGAATATATAAATATGTAATATTTTAAGATATTAATAGCATAAACAGTAATAAAGAAAATGCGATTTAAATAAAATAAAATATATTTTATATTTGCTCAACATTAAATTTTCATTTTTTTACAACGCTGAATTTTTAACTATTTTTTATATATATAAAAATATTGTTCATAAGCAGTGTTTGGTCATTCCAGTTCCAGCACACCTGGCGACGCAGCAAAAAATGAAAACTTAGGTTAAGTTCAGACAAACGGTCCACTTTCCACTAAATTTTTGAATTAAGCTGTAGTATACTACACCCATTTTTTTCATTATGCAAAAAACATCATCATTAATAGCAATTAATACAAATTAAAAATAATTACAATGTTTATAGTGAGAATAAGATGGCAAAACAATGAGATAAATCGTCAATACTGATGCAAGTCCCAAGTTGCTAATGCTAGAACCTGAATCTATGCCAATTAAAAATAATACGATTAATAAATCAGATAAATAAATGAATGATGTATGTAATTATTACTATAGTGTTACTAACATCAAATAGTATGACAGCTGAACATAATTTGAAAAAGACAATATGTAAAAACAAATGGGCGAATTTTATAAGCCTTTTTTCAGTCTTTAAATGTTGTTCCTTTAATCTTAATTTTTTACGACAGAATAAGACTTCCCTTACTTTATTGTACGGATACATAAAATCATTACCACAGAATTTAAGTACATGCTTTAATAAAGAACCGTTATGTTCTAAGAACTGTGAACTGCATTAATACAGATTTTAAAATTTGTGTAACATTTCCTACACTTACAACGGTAATCAGTAGCCAGGATACAAGACCATGGATCAATGAACACAAGAATTTCCTCCACAAAACCTCGTCAAGAGAGGTCTCTGCAAAGTTTTTCCAATGGTCTGTACATGAAAACCAATGTCAATAAGTGACTGATGATCTAAAATTTTGCGACCATCAAATATATACGCAGGTTTCATCATTGCATGGTAGATTTTGTGGTAGTCCAAGGTCTAAAAAATCACTTTACAATCTACAACATACCAACAAAAATTAAAATTACCTTAAATTCGTCCCATTCAGTGCATAACACAATAGCATGAGATTTCTCACAAGCCGAATACGCATCGTGATATATAGTAATAGCACTCTTCACCTTCTCTGGGGATTCGCAAACCGACGGGTGAGTCAGGTCATAATAAATTTGTTCTTCTTCCACTTTTGGATCATAAATCTTCAACGTAGCTCCTTCATCAAGAAGAGTTTTCGCTACATGTATCGCTGGAGTTTCTCTAGTATCTCCAGTGTTCTTTTTAAACGCGAATCCTAAAATCGTCACCGTTTTGCCGCTGACGGTATTAAACAACGACTGAATAACTTTGGAAGTAAATCTGGACTTTTGGTATTCGTTCATGTCCACTACTTGCTGCCAGTAGGCGGCAACTTCCGGAAGATTCAAACATTCGCAAATGTACACCAAGTTGAGGATATCCTTTTGAAAACAGCTCCCACCAAAACCAATAATTAAACACGAATGTTCAAAATAATTGTAAATAATAAAGGTGTGATAAACTAAATCGACACGAAAATGGAGTAAATAATTACCTATAGAAGCTTGAAGAAATTTGGGACCTATTCTCGAATCTAAACCAATTGCTGTGGCCACTTCTGATACATCAGCACCAGTCGCTTCACAAACAGCTGACAGTGAATTTATACTGGATATCCTTTGTGCCAACATTGCATTCGCAGCCTATGTTACAAAATATAGTTAACTCAGATCCAATACCTCAAAAAATATCTCACCAATTTTGACAACTCTGACGACCAAGTATTGGTCGTAAAAATTTTTTCTCGGGGTATCCAGTGTTCATAGATACTGCACAACTCTTCAATGGCAGCTTGTCCACCAGGACTTTCCTCCCCACCAATTAGTACCCGATCGGCGTTAATAAGGTCGTTTATAGCAGTCCCTTAAAAGTTTTTTTTTTGTAAGTTTGTAGTTGGCACTAATACAACAAACCTTCTGCCAAAAATTCCGGATTAGAGAGTATCTGATAGGATACTCCTGGTTTTTGATTGGCACTTAGAATTTTTAATATACTTTCGGCCGCTCTAACAGGAACAGTACTTTTCTCAACGACAATTTTATCGCTTTGGGCAATTTCTGCTATCATTCTCGCGGCTCCTTCTACATATTTCAGATCGGCCGCTCGTCCCTGAAATCAGGGAATTAATCTAGGATTAGAATTTTGTTGTAAAAATTATCAGTATTTGTAATTTTAATTTCATCACAAATCGATTTTAAATCTGTGTGCAAAATTCTTTAAAAAAATGGTAGTATTGCAGAACACGCAGTGGCCTAGCTCAACGTGCATTTTTAATCAATATTTAATATAAAATCTGTTTAAAATTTCATGAACAATCAATCAAACCCCATTGAAATAAAATCAACTAGCTTATAACAATATTACAATGGAGGTATTACACAGCACATAAAAATTACAAGCTGAATTCAATGAAACTAATCCTACCAGGAAAGATAACACAAATCTCTACAAATCTCTCTGTATTAATAATAATCTAAGTTCTACTAGTGATGATAATCTTTATTCTTAATTAAATAACTTCTCATTGTGCAAAAACACTGACTTAAATTAACAAATAGTTTGCTTTAAAAAATGACTCACAAACTATTACACTGATAGTTTTTTGTTCATTAAAATTAATAAAACGCCTCAATAATTTACAATCATTGAATATTAAGTCTTAATGATGAAGGAATTTGAAAGGTTAATATGATGTCTTGTTGGCAAAGATGAGCACACATCATTTCATCATCAGCTTCCAGCTGAATTTAAACAAAGCAATAAATTGGTCAAGGTAAATTGTACTTACCTTACCATTACCAATGGTTTTTGTTGGTGTATTAACAGAAATAAATATTAGGTCAGCTTCTAAAATTGCGGTAGTTATATCATTTGAAAAAAACAAATTTTTTCCTCTGCATGCTTTTACTATATCATCCAAACCAGGCTACAAAATAAATTTTAACTGACGTCATGGACAGGCACTTTTTACCTCATAAATGGGAAGTTTGTCGGAATTCCACTGGGCGATCCTTGTTTTGGATAAGTCAACTACAGTGACTTTAATTTCCGGACATTTTAGGGCTATGACACTACACGTGGGGCCCCCAACATATCCAGCGCCGACGCAACAAATTTTTTTAATAACCATTTCGTGACTGAAATTAAAACGCGAGTTATAATTTGAATTAACACATTGTTTTCGCTTGTGCAGTGCTAATTTATACGGTCTATTGTTTAAAAAGGGATAAAGTAATTCGTGAAATTATTAAACAAACTTACTTGTTTGGTCGACTACACTACACGTCTACAAAATGAATCTCTTCTGAGAAATCTAAGCAACGTCTTCACTGTTCCAAAATTCGTTTACACTAACCTCCAACTCATAGCTTACGCCCACTAACCTATAACTCCCTTCTTTACACTACAGCATTATCTATTAGCTTATTTGCTTATTTTGCATATAACAACTATTTTAGATTTTAGGACTATAAAAATAAATTCGTGTACAAAAAAACCGCACTTGACGTCCTAATGTGAATGTTTTCGAATTTATATATTTTAACGTCAGATGTCAGACCTGTCAATTTGTCAATTGACTATTCTGCAGCTGCCATCTGTCAAAAATTTCGTCTTTATCGGTAAGGTTAAATTTATAAAGCTTCGTTCACAATACTCCTGCGTAGCACATAACACTTATAAGTTATACTACTCGTGAATTTATCATTTTGAACACAAGTAACATAACGTAACTAGGCGACTAACTACTGTTTTCACGACAGGTGAATCAAAAAAAAAAATAAAAAAAGTTGGTCTAAGTTAATTTACACAAAACTCCCCTCGTCCCTAAAGTACAGAACAATATATCCAGCTTTTTCAAAAAATTATAAAAATTTGATTTTGCGAATTTTATTTTTTTACTACATTACCTCAGTAATAGTGATATGTATGTGATAACTCCTATATGTTAATGTTTCACGTGAGTTTTTTGTAGTTTTTCATTACAAAGTTTTGTGATGACCTTAACATTTCAACAAAATATCTATGTCGATTTGTATAGGTACAGCGTGATCATGGGTGTGAGACTAATAATAATACTCCCAAAATTTTGAGAAAATAAAGACGTTCTTGATGTGAGAAATAAAATCAATTGTCTTTTTCATTCATTTCACCTGTATAAGCAATTCTAAAAAATATAGATGCATTGATATATCACAAGTATAGATTCATAACATTTCCCCGCAAATAAGATAGCTGGGTAAACGCCTAGTCCATGGTAGAGAAAATCTGGGATTGTGGGTAAACCTTCATGCAAAATCGACCCAGACACCCCGTCTGCGCCCCACACGACCCCACGCATTTATTTAGCTTAGACTTAAATTTTCCTGGATTTTGACTACATCAAATGGAAACATTGTTATGATTGCAAGGGAGAAAAACGAACAAAACCAAATTATGCCACTCTCTATCAACAATTACAGTTTCGGCCAGAAAATCTTGGGCAGTATTTTTCTGTCATTTGAAAAAACACGGTGTAGTCTATGCTTTATTGTCACAATGATTGACACTTTTAAAAAATAAATTTTGACATAAGTCATATAAATTTTGACATACGTCATCATCCACATTCCAGTCTACGTCAAAATGTCAGTGGTCAAAATGACAAACATGGCAGATTTGAGGTTAGAAATATGTAAAGCCTGTTTTAGAGCTTATGTCACTGGAATGACAGAACTGCCCAAGCTTTTGTGGCTGAAACTGTACGTCTCGGTGATATCCAGATGATAACTACCTAAGGAAAAAAATTTAGTCCCCCGAACAGTCTCATTAAGGGCCGAATTCTGTATTTTAACCTTTAAATAAGGAATCCGTTTGTTAAAGGCTTAATTAGGCTTAATTAACTTTAACATGACGATTTTTAGTGTTTTTTGTTAATATTAACAAATTTAAACCATGAAACTATAAAACTAGACAAAGACATCATTGTTCTGATTCATATATACCTTCTTTGTAATTTCTCTGGGTTAAATAATCACAGATTCTCCATTTCTTTCCTTTTATTTAGAAACGGTCACTATATAAAACTAATGAAACTGACAGATAAGTTGCATAAAGTGACACATATGACCATACACTGCACCGTCGCCTGCGTTGACAGTTGCGCTGACAAAGCCTGCCGAATAGCCACCTTTGACAGATAATCCAGTAGTTACTTTCGACGCCATTTTCCTTCTGAGGGCGCTAGTTATCCTTGAATGACAGCTCAAATTTGAATTTGACACATTTGTTTGTATATGTAATTTTCGTAATTTTGAACTAATAAAATACGATTAAAAATGCATTGTTGTGTACCATCCTGTTCAAACAGTAATTCAAATGTTACCTACCACGAGTTTCCAACGCAGAAGCAGAGGTTTTCTGCGTGGACAAAAAGTAGCACTCTTGGGGAAAATTTGAAAGGTTTGCATTCTTTAACTATTAAAAAATAAATAAAATTCTTGATATAACGTAATAATGAACGTTAATTTCATTTAAGAAAACTTTGAACCTCCTTCGGAGAGGCCAAAAGTCTGTATTCTTCATTTTAATAAAAATTATTTTTTCTACGATTCTGTGGGTAGATGCAGGCTACAAAGACATGCAGTTCCCCAGTTTAACAAAGGTGTAAGAGAGAGGTGTAAGAAGGTGTGTAACTGATTAACCGAAACCATTTTCATCAATCAATAATAATCAATGAAAAACTTCACCAACAATCCTAAACCTACACGGAACATCATAAACCAACAATTTCTTCTGTACATTCAAATTGGTCAACTGTCAACGAAGGATAACTAGCGCCCTCGGCAAAATGTGTCCTAATTTTGCATATCGTCCAATTTCGCTATTCGGCAGGCTTTATCAGCGCAACTGTCAACGCAGGCGACGCACTGCACAAAGGAAACTATAACGGACTTCACCTTTATACAACGCATCTATGTATAAGGGTCCTTTACCTTTTAGAGAATAGGAATATCCTTATGTAAGGACCTTCCAAGAAAAGAGAGGGTGGGTGGGCGGGGCTAATACCTGCTAAGATAAGAGCGATTTTGGCAATTGAAATTTCTTTCTTTTCTTGAAGGGTATCTCATTTGCCAAAATCACTCTTATCTTAGCAGGTATTAGCCCCGCCCACCCACCCTCTCTTTTCTTGGAAGGTATGTGATTTGCCAAACTCAGTTTTATCGAGAGTGTATCTCATTTGCCAAGATCAGCCTTAACTTAGCAGGTACTAGTCCCACCCGTCCGCTAGTACCTACTAAGATAAGAGTGATTTTGGCAGATAAGATATACCATCTAAGAAAAGAGGGTGGGTGGGCGGGGCTAATACCTGCTAAGATAAGAAATCCCTCTCTTTTCTTGGAGGGTATCTCATTTGCCAAAATCACTCTTATCTTAGCAGGTATTAGCCCCGCCCACCCACCCGCTCTTTTCTTGGAAGGGATGTGATTTGCCAAACTCAGTTTTATCGAAAGGGTATCTCATTTGCCAAGATCAGCCTTAACTTAGCAGGTACTAGTCCCACCCGTCCGCTAGTACCTACTAAGATAAGAGTGATTTTGGCAGATGAGATATATCTTCTAAGAAAAGAGGGTGGGTGGGCGGGGCTAATACCTGCTAAGATAAGAAATCGCTCTCTTTTCTTGGAGGCTATCTCATTTGCCAAAATCACTCTTATCTTAGCAGGTATTAACCCCACCCACCCACCCTCTCTTTTCTTAGAAGATATGTGATTTGCCAAAATCAGTTTAATCTTCCAGATTGGTGAATTAGCTACGCTTGTTGGGGAAACTGTGGCGTCGCTATCGATACGATTAATTTTCGTTAAACAAAGGCTTCCCCGTTTTTTAAACTACCAAATCAACTAAACTTATTCTAACTACCTTACCGAGTGTTTTCACTCACACCCAACAAAACGACAGTGACGCATCTCAACCACAGATCTCAACTCTTCCAAGCAAGCCCACTTCACCTTCACTTCCAACCCTGTTATCTTACCAGATACCAGAGAACACCATGGTGCAAGAAGACATGGTATGCTAATCCGATGGATGAATTTTTGTCTGCTTTGAGCACCAGCCACGTGACGTCACATTGCCCGACCGAAACGCTCTTCTGGCAACTTCGAATGCTGTCAAATGTCAATTTATAAGTGATATGTGAGGTTATATCGGAGATTGGGATTCGGTTCAGCTTTTAATCATGGGTTAACTTATCTTCGAAGGTGCTAAATTGAATGCTAATAACATGTGTTCAGAATTTGGCATCGTTAGTTGATAGTGATAATACGAACATGCAACAAGCTGGATTTTAAAGTTGGCGGTTATGGCAGCCACAAGCCGTCACACAAAATGCGCAAACTGTGTGCGCAATATCATACCAATGCCAGTAACCACAGAACAGTAACGTAACAGTAACCACCCCGGATACCACTTGCTATTTCTATTTATTAAGTTGGTAGCTTGTCGCTGTCAAACACGTCAAGTTGGATATTCTGTGTCCCGAAGCGGTGTATTGTCAAAAGTAAATAAATAAATAAATGAATTTGTAGCATCTTGTTTTCGGAAGTTCTACGACAAAATACAAATATTATTGCTTTGTTGAGTGCACAATTGAATATAAAACATCGTTAAACACTCACTGTTAATACAAATGACGGAATTGCAAGACAACTTGCCTCCAGGCTGGGAGTGCAAAATCGATGGACTCACAGGAAAACAGTAAGTAATCATAAAATCGGCATTAAGTTTGCTAATTTCGTACCTTTTTCTGCAGATATTACATAAATCACAATACCAAAACTACTACCTGGGATGATCCTCGAAATCGTTACAGGTCAATTCATGCAACTCCCAAACATATTGAACACATACCCCTTCAAGTAAGTTAAAAACCAACACTGCGTTTAATATTGAGGTAATTTACATGTATTCATATATTGTGTTCTTTAAACATGCTGCGTTACTTGGATTTAATAGCATGGTTCACCAGATTTACGAAGGAATTATGTGTATCCAAGTCAGACTACACCTATTCCAGCATTTCAAATGTCCACAAATCAAAGCACTAAACCGAACGCGTTCCAGGTATTATTGCTTGTAGAATGTGCTATTACAGTATGAGGGTGGATGAGTTATTGCTTTTATTTAATTAAGTCAATCTTGAGTAGTTGGCATTAAGTTTTTCTTTGTATATGTAGCGGTTTTTATTTTTGATAACGAATATATGCTGCATAAACCTGAAGTGATGTTTTTTAAAGGAACTACGTAGTACATCGCGCTCAAGCCCTCTTACATTACGAGGAGCAAAAATTCAAGACAGCTCCTTAACAATTCAACAAGACACTGATGAAGCTATTGCTAAAATCAGTGCCATGTTTCCTACTGTTTCAGAAACTCATATTCGCTTATTGATGAAAAAGTAAGTATCATAGCGGACCTCCATAGCCATCTGCATTGTGTACCGTGAATTGTGTTGTGTAAACTAACAGTGTCTGGGTTCACTTTTGTACATACCACTTTTTCATACTAACACCGCCTTTCATTTGCTTTTCTTACCATTTTCTAGGTATCACAATCGAGAAGCTGTTGTGATAAGTGCATTGCAGGTGGAAAAAAATCCAATTACTACGCCTGGACCTTTTGCAACTCCCCCTCCTCAGCGAAACATTCATCATCCCAGCGTATATGCATTACATAAGACGCCTCCCCTTGGGCTCCGCTCTAGCTCCAGGGGTGGTAGTCCAGTATTAAGACCTGGATCGGGGACGAACAGCACATACACAGGCTCTCCACGCATAGGAGAGGGTTTCAGAAGTTCTCCAAGGCCCCACTCTTCTCCTAAATTAAAACTAAGGTCTTAATTCAGTTCGTCCCATTATGGTGTTACCTATTTAGTCTTCTCCAAAAAATTACGTTACTAGTATGAGATACCCTTGTTTCACAAACAATGTCTTCATTATGACGTAAATTTTTTAATATTATATAAAATTTTCATGCTGCATCAAGTACAAGTTTATAGCTAGAATTTTCAGAAAAATCGTGATATGATGACAAATCGAGTTTTTTTTTAATATACAAGATATAATTTCGCGGTTTTATATCTTAAGAACGGATAGCAATATTGAATTTCTGTAAACACAGTTGCTTTTAGCTTGAAGAGGGAAGCTTAATTTAGTGACGTCGGCGTCGCGACACTAATTTGTTTTTTTTTTATTTAATGTATATTTGTTTTAATGGACTTTGATAGATCGTTAAATTATGATTACAATGATATAAAACATTTGTTTAATTTGTTGTAATCTTGATATAAAGATCTATCAAAATTCGCTAAAAAATGTATGTTGCAATTAAAAAAAAAAGATTTGTACCCAAGGCCAACGCCATACATGCGTCATATTATGCAATGTATTTAAATTAACCTTCGCCCTTCAAGTTAAAAACAATGGAGTTTACCGAATCCCATTATTTCTGCCCCTTCTCGATACAAGGCGCGGAGTTTTATCCTGGGACACCTGTAGATAAAGAACAGCCAAAAAAAAAAAAAAATTAAAGCTTCAGGTGATTTTTAAGTTATGACTGTTTTCATAAAAGGGTATTGTTAGAAGAAAAACAATCACAAAATTAGGATATACGTATTATCGACTTTTTATTATTATATAGAAAAAAAAAACGTCACTGAAAAATTATATCTAAGAAGGAAAGGAAAAATATATAGTTCAAAATACTGCAAAAAAAATCTGTAGCTAAAAAGAAAGAAACTTCACCCCAATTTTGGAAAGAGCACTTTTAATTACTTTGAACAAAAGATGCAGTTGACGTAGCTAAGCCAAATTAACACCATGTACGTTAACAATCAAAATTTTTATCCATAAATTGAGTTTGTAGTACAAAAATCTTTGCGTTTTATATTAATGAAAATGCGTGAATTTGAAGGAAAAACTAACTTTTGTACAGTACAGTGAGGCTATTAATTCCGACGAGAGGTTCAAATGGACCACTGTATTGGCGGTTACCCTTCTGTTTGCACATAGCTGTAATAATGTTTTAGAAAATTTTCATGATATAGTTAATCATGTACCGAGAAATTGAGAATACATTTTTTCCCGTTGGTTATCTGCTTTATATTTAATATTGTCCGCATTTATGCGGGCCGCGCCCGCTTGGAATGGGAGTGTTATTTACGCCACGAATTTTTTTTTTATTTTTCAAAAAAGCGGGATTTGTTGGACTGTACTTAGAAACTTAAAATCGAGGGAAGTTGTTTTTAAATAACCTTCGACCATTTATTAATTTTATAGCTTTTAACATATTTTGATAGTTTTCTTGGAGTTGAAATTAAGGAAAAAAAACTTATTTAAAAATTCATAGAATATTTTAATTTGTATTACAACAGAAACACTTCTATTAATTTGTAGAGAATATAAAGTATGAGAAGTGGCGTTTTAGCTAGGTTTTCTGAGTTGTTTTCTATATCGGAAGTTTTTTAAACATTTTTCTTGTGACTTTTCAAACCTAGATAAGTATTAAGGGAATACTTTTCTAAACAATTTTTGTGTATAGATGTTGAGAAAAATCTTAACCTTTTTTATAAAAAGTGCATGGATAATGTTTATCATTTTTAGTTGAAAATGATAACTCATATTACGAAGTAGCCATCAATAGTGGTACTGAAAACACGAAAGTACAAAATAAGAGGCTTTTTTTTTTGAAAAAACGAATTTCGAGATCAGAGAATCTAAAAGAAAAAAAATATAGCTATGTTTTCCTAACAAAAAATTATGTTCCTTGCGAATTCCTTCAAAATTAAATAGATCTCCATTAATTAAGCATGACATATAGTTTTATATCACGTAATCACATTTTTTTTTCAAAATTTTTCGACGTGCTTTTTTCAAAAAAGGGGTGGCCGACTATGTACTATATCTATCTAAAAGCTCCACAGTTTATTAAGAAAAATGATCAAAATTAAAACTGCATTTATACACTTTTTGGAATTTAGAATTTATAGTTGCATCAGAGTTTTAGACTAAAATTTTGCTTAAAAATAAAAAATGTGGCAACATTGAGCTTTCTTTAAACAGTTACATATTATTTAAATTTAAAACATTCATGTTCATTGTCATTTGTATTCATGTTATAATTTAGATATTGATTGTGATAACTTTTCTAGGGCCTTTAGTAAACTGAAAAAATCTTAACTACAAAAAAATTAAACATACAAGAATTTGTGGGTAATGTTAGATACGTAACATATATTTCTTTTCGCAAATAGCAAAATCTGTCAAACTACAATCAAGCAATACCTACAAAAATTCTCTTCACATTTGAGTGTTCCAAAAGTGGCGGGGTTTTTAAACTAGAATTTTCATTTAGTTATTGATATTTTTCGTTCAAACACAAAATTGGGCACTTTTTTACACATTTTATCAAAAATGTTTAATTTTTACTTCCCGAGCGTAAGCTAAGGAAGTATAGTAATCGAGTCTATCGAATTGCCACTTTCATATTTTCTCGAAAACTGCTGTCATTACCTCTAAAGTACGAAAAAAGTGGTCTCCCGTTTCTGTCTGTCTGTCTGTCTGTCTGTCTGTCCGTCTCTCTGTATGACGTCATCTCCAAAATTTATAATATTTTTTTTTTATTTCATAAAGTAACATGCACTTGTGGTGTCTGAATCCGCGTCGAATTTTCACTCTAGACATCCAGGATTTTTGGAAAAAATTCAAAACTGAATAACAATATTTTGCAATATAACTTTAAAACTGAAAAACCGAAAAAGGTTATCGCAATCATGGTAAATCATTAAGCAAAATTTATTCGTTTATCCCCTCCCAAAAAAATGATGATTTCATCTCAAAATTTTGCCGAATAAATCCTATCCAAAATGTGCAAAATATAATGAGTCTATACTAAAAAAATCACATAATCAAAATTTACAATTTTTCGAAAAAGCTGGATTTGTTTTATTGTATTTTAGGGGAGAGGGAAGTTCTGTCGAAATAACCTTCGACCAATTTTTTATTGTGTTATTGAAGTTGCTGATTTAACATTATGTTTTCAATAATGTTCGTTACTTAAAAATTTAACTCTATTGTGAAAATAATCTAATAAACAATTTTTTTCATAATTATTGATTAGACAAAAAATAGAAGTTTATTTTTATATATTTATTATTGCTATTACGAATTTATTTCTCAAAGCGTCACACCGTTGTGTGATGAAATTTGTATACGCTTTTACAAAAACATTTAACAATGCTTTCCAAATGAGAAATAAACAAGTTTCATACCCGACAAACGGATAAGAATACAATAATCATTTTCACGGGTAATGAAACAGTGATAAAGGTTATTTGTTGGAAATTATTGATTTTATGTGGTAATTTGTACACGAAACAATTGAATAACGAAAAGTACATTTGTTTCCTGTAAAGTTGGTCGATATTTTGAATGAGTTAAGGGAAATTTATTTGACAATGCGTAGTTGTGGCGTGTTAAACATATAATATAGATAGTTTTTTAAACAATGTAGTGACATTTTCTTTAATTTGTAAGTATATGCATTTTTATAATATTTTTACGTTTCGAACATTTGCAAAATTCAACATTGGAAATAATTTTATAATAAATAAATCGTAAAAGTCTCCATCAATTACAAAAATAATGCATGCGAAATTAGAATGGGTATGATCCTGTGTTTTCTTTTAAAAAATAGTGAGTAATAATACAACAAGTATTGAAACTTGGATAAAAGGATAATTTGTCGGATTTTCGAAATTTTGGTATTTTATGGATACTTTTGAGTATTTTCGCTAGATTTTTTTATCCCAGAACAACAAAAATAATAAATCTTACATTTTTGGAACGCTCTTAAAACGTCATCTTATATCTCTTAAAACAAGTCTTTAATTGACTGCAGAATATTCTAACGATCTGATAGGGAAATCCCATTCATTTCTTATGGACTTCTGATATTATAATTTGCTCCTTTAGATCTTAAACACACCAAAGTTGCATTTTTTTTTATTATAATTTTATAAAAAAAGTTTTTATTTACAACTTACTTATGCAAGGTGATTAAATTTACCGTGTATTTTATTTGCTGCTTTTTTCGTGTTAAGAGTTGTATACTTCACTCGGCAAGTAACCTTTGCATAATTAAAACCTGAAGTGACACTTATCTTAATTAAATACACCCAAGAGTGTATAAGATGACCAACCAACATCTCACACATATTAAAATTAAATAATCCGTTTCCAATTTTTCTACCATTTCAATCTGTTTACATACATATTGTGCAGCATTCCCCCAATATCACGTAGTAGAAATTATCATTTACCATTTATACCACTAACAGTGCTCCGTTCACCCTCGACAATAGCAAAACTTTGCTGTCCCTATGGATACCTGCATCCGTTCTGTGGATATTTTTTCAGCATGCTTTAATTTTTATTAATTTTTATTTGGTGATGGTTATAACAGCTAGAATTGTCATTTGTTTTTATTTTATTCACTTTCATAGAAAACATTATTTTGGATAAAGTAAATGACGGTACGTAGTTGCAGGTATATGAAGTCAATTTTCCCAAAAGCAGACGAAACGGTTATTTTGGATATACTCAGCAACAATGAAAGCAATATACAGAAAACGTCAGAAATCTTAACGGATATGGGTTTTGAAAGAAAAGACACTGTAAAGATGGCACAGCAGAAAGTCGAAATGAAAAGCCAGCCTGTTAAAAAAGAGGAGGAAATTAAGAAGGAAGAACCTAAACCGTTACCCCCTCAGATGAAAACGTCAGAAGAAAAGGCGGCACGTAATATTTCGTTTAAAATTTACTGATTAAAAACTGACATCGCTTGGGTTACAGTTACTGAAAAATTGAAGAACAAGTTTGAAGGTGTAGCAGAACACTTAATTACGATAGCACTGGAAAGTGTGGATTTTGACGAAAGCAGAGCGAATCAGATTCTCGAAATTATAAAACAAGAAGATTCCGATAACAAAGTCGAAGAAAGTACACAGAACGAAGACAATGAAGTTGACAACGAGTAATTCTTTCAATGTTATAATTGTAATTCTTGTCATTTAATTTTAGGGAGATAGCTATAGACGTAGATGTTAATAAAAGCACTACCCTGCCTGTATCCCAGAGCAGACAGTCCATAAAATCATTATTGAAATCAGATAAGTCAGATAAAGACAGAAGTACATATTCCAGGTACGTAACGGGTACCATTTATATGAAAATTTAATGTACACACATAAATATATTTCATAGGATTGTTGAAAACGATGCCTTGGAGTTCAGATCTAAGAATCTCACAAACACAACGGGGCCTAATCCAGATTTAACGCAAGGACCAAATAATAAAATATTATTGTAAGTGTTGTTTCTTTTACTCCGCTTTTCATCCATTTTCTGAGACTGAATTAACTTAAATACTTGCTAATTAGTTTCTAATTCATACCCTACCTGCGGTTTCCCCCACCACTTCTCGAAACCATTATTTGTCAAAAGTTGTTTGAAAATGGCGAAGTGGGTGGAGCCACAGGTAATCTATAGATTAGGAAACAGCAATATGATGTTATTTTTCCAAAAAAAATATTCTCCCTGTTGTTTTAACGTTCATGATTATTTTTTTTAGGGAAGATTATATGAACTGGCAAGGACCTAATGTAAATATTCGAAAAGGTCCACAAACATTACAAAAAGGTCCTAATCTTTCATTATTGGGGACCAAGAAGTATCAGCCTCGCGGCTCAAACCCAGAATTGCGCAAAGGTCCAAAATTGGGATTAGCAAAAGGCAGCATTTTTTCTCAGTTGAAAAACGTCAGTATTGGAGAATCTCGAGGAAAGTAGCAGTTGATGTGCAATCTCATTTAAAATTCTTGAATTTCGGTTGCATATCGTTATTGAAATCTTTGTTGAATATTTAAGTAGAAAATTTAAAAGACCTCATCAACACACAGCACACAATAAGCACAACCTGAAGATAATTACAGTAGTTTAAAATACACGAGGGTAAATATTTGCTATTAAATGTATCCAAGGAAAAACAGTATACAAATAAGGTAATACGAAAAAACTCAATGTTTTAGTTTGTTTCTTTTATACAGCTTAACATCTATGTGATATATGTCAGCTATGTATCGTGTTAATGGCAATATTCTAGTGATAATGCTGCAGCAGTGTGTAGCTTTTTAAAAATGATTTTAAAAAATTGTGAAGGCTGTGGGTAATAACGTATGCCGCCCATTCTTCAGCAAAAAAGTGGGTAAAGAAAGAAAATCCAATTCAGTAATTTCACAGTCCGTAACAAATGTTCACTATTGCATATTTTAACTGCAAATATTTTTGTAAATGTATTTTAAGAGTAGTACATGTAGGAGAAAAAATATTGTTTTTTTGCGGCCTTTTGATATTTTTGCCGTCGTGGTGTTCTAGATTTCACTTCATAATGTAACAGCTACAATATTTCCCCTAATTTTTGCAGTGTCACCACCTTGAACAGGGAATTGTTTGTATACACTATAACTATATCTGGATAGTTTTTAGCTACGATTGTTGTATAACTTATCTCTTCTCGATTATTTATTTATAATTCATTTTCTTTTGTGCCATATATTTACAATAATACTGCATGTATACTGGATGTAATAAAATAGTGCAATATGTCTCTTAACTGTTTATTTATACCTTAAAATAATTCCTTACGTCTAATGTAAAAACTATACTTCATCTTCGTTTAACAATAAATTTGGTATGCCGTTATTTATGGGGAATTTCCTTCCAGTTTCTGGACAGATAAGTTCGCCGTTTATTACATCAACCTCCAGTAGTACATGGTGTGCCTTTTTCAAAAAATCTTGGTCGTTTTCATAGTTTTCCACAATTTCTTTGGGAAGACCTTCCAATTGCCCTATGCTCTCAGCGGCATTCCACAATACCGCCCAGTCGACCTTGGGTATAATTTTTGCAATGAAGTCAGGATTGAAGTCCACCTCTGACACACGAACATCTGACGCCTGCGAAGTAATACATTCGTGTTTTTTTTTTGTATTTAAAGTACTAGTTTAGATAAAAAACTGCCTTACAATTAATATTTTTGTAGCGTGCTTCTAAAATATAAAGTGGAATAGATGTTGGGTAGTAACACAAAAAATGATATAAAAGATCTCTCAAAAATACTGGCAAAGGTTTGTATTTATATTTGTTAAATTAAAGACAAAATAGATAAAGAAGCATGTCATGTCCATGTTTCAAGTGAACTTTGCTTAACAAAATTTTGTGATGACGTCATCAACTTTTTGGTAGGGACAAATACATATGTCGATAATAATAAAAACTGAAATTTCAAATTTCAATCAATTTGCATATTCTGAAGAATACCACTGCGTTTTTTTAGTTTAACTCAAAAACTCAAACACAAACGTACTTTTTCCTCGGAAATTTTTACATCTAGTTTAACAGCTACGAGTTTTTTTTATCCAAAAACAAGTTGTGGGTGGTTCATTTTAGTTTTACTCATTTTTCTTTTAAATTTTCGCGTAGGTGGTACGTGGTTAAAAAAAAACTGTGACATTCTAGCAATGCTAAATCATTTTTATAAAAGGAACGTTACACAACAACTTAAATAAAGTCTGTTTTTTTAGTTATATGTATATTAGAAAATTATTATAGGGTTCACCTTCAAGGGCGGCGTTTTCATTTAATTTTTTGGTACATAAATAAAGCATTTAACAATAATAATATTTCGCAGTATGTTTTTTGATTTTAGTTTTTGTATTACTACCACTGAGCCCTATTCAGCTCGCCAAATAAATGCAAAGTTTACAATCAACATAACCTTAAATATACACAAATTTATTGTCGCTTGAAAGTACAAAAACACAGTTAAATGATTTACTCACGTTAATAGCAAGTGGATATCCAACAGTTACAGCTTTCATGCATTTAGAAGTAAGCATGTTATGAGTTAACAATTTCATGTTTGTTTCAGCAGCCCTTATTCGAAGATCACAAACAACAAATTCAATTTACTTGTACTGTCAGTTCCAATAAATAATTTCTTCTAAATTCTTCAAACCTATTACTGAGTCCTTATTTATCTATATTCATTATGATTTTCACAAATTGCTGTTCGACTGCGAATATAGTGCGGTCTATAACCATGTTTTTGTTACTATAATTTGAAAAAACGACGCCATTTTGACGGCGGAAACCACCGACAGTTCGTTACAACAACACTCGTTTCAAACGACGCACAATATAAATTACGCAAGTATCGACGAATGTGTTTCAAAATTCGCTTTAATTTTTTACGCATGAATTTTCTAACAAACAAGTGACGATTTCACTCTTCGTTATCAAATTTCAACTTTAAACCGGTTGTTTGTCGTGCGCAGCACTTCCGGTTCCACTAACTCCTGTGCTAAATGGGAAAACCCTAGAAGATGTGTATAGTCGCCATTTTTCCATTTAGTTATATTTGATCTTTCTAGTAACTAAGAAAATAACCGTTTTGATCTGGTTTAGATCTTGGCGGGTGAAATGGAAAGCGAAGAAACAGAGCAGATTCAGGAAGGCGAAGAAGAATCTCAAGATTCACAAGAACTGGACGAAATTCCTGTACAATTAGATGACTCGTCATACGAACCTCTTGGCTTGACCAACAGTTCAAATATCGTGAGAGGGAAATATTACAAACAGACTTATCGCCCCGCGTGGGAACAAATGCCAGATTTTAAAGGTAAGATGAAGCCCATTAAGCCTGCATTATGTTATCTATATTTAACTGTGTTTGTCAAAGGCTGGCTTCGAGGAGTTGTTGGTGAACCCACAAGAGCATATTGTACATATTGCCAGAAAACTTTGCATGCTCATCGGTTAAGTTTGCTTAAACACACTTGCACTATTAGACATCAAAAGGCCGCGCAGATACACAATACTCGAAAGGTAACATGTTACATTCACACAATAGTGACTTGATTTTCAAATCTTGTAGAATAAAGCCCAGGCCATGGAACAGCAAGAAATTCATGCTGTAGTTCTCCAAGAGGAAGACATTAACCAGACAGAAATTGATAATGAAGAGGCGGAAGCAATAGAGTACACTGAAATCACTTCAGAAGTGGAAGATGACGACCATCTTCAAAAAGATGGGGAACATGACTTGGTTGAAGAAGAAGAGGAAGAGGAGGCAACTATGGAAATTCATCAAGTCCCATTTGAGAAGGTAGGAAGGTTTGGTTTCTGCCATTGTTGGTGCTATTTTTGTTTTCATTGAATTGTTCTTTTTGTTAAAGAATAAAACAAACTAGTCTCTTTCTTTGTTATATCATTTTCCTTATTTGTTTCTGTGTTTAAGTTTGTGACTTCATTGTATATTGATCATTATTTTTTAATAGCACAACCAAAATTTCCAAGCAAATCAAATGAAAGCGCCAGTTTCCACTCACGTGTTAGATACCACAAGAGGATGCCCTGTGTCTGGATTACAAGTTAGTCTGTATAAACTGATTGATGGAAGATGGACATATATTAATGAAGGAATTACGAACGTTAATGGGAAGTTTTCTGGCTTTGTAGACAGAGCAGATTTTACTCCTGGAAGATACAAACTGCATTATGATGTGGATAGATATTTTGATGCACGTAAGCAAGATACCATGTATCCTTTCATTGAGGTAAGAAAGTCAATGAAAATAATTTATAATGTATATTAATAAAAATTTGCAGGTGGTATTTGACTGTCGAACTATTACTGAAAACTATCACATACCCATACTTCTAAGTCCATATGGGTATTCAACCTACAGAGGATCTTAGACATTCCATATTACATTTTTAAGAAATTATAGTGTTAAATAGCTTTCTAGATTGCCTTATGGGAAATAATTGAAGAGTGATTATTTAACCAATATTTAAGAAATATGAAGTAGGTTCATTAAGTTAGTTTGTCCTTAATTTTAATATGCTGGAGAAATGGAACTATTTTTTACCAAAGTTAGAGCAAAACATTAAAAGTTTTTTGTTCAATCCTGTACTACTGTATGCTTAAGAATATTCACTTTTTAAATAAACAACAAAATTCATTTGAAAATTACTTTTATTACGAAAAATACACAATTTTAAGAAGACATTTTCGCTTTTTGTTTTTTGAGAGATTTTTGTTTAGCTTGTTCATACAAAGCCAGCAGTTTTCCTTCTTTGGCTAAAATTTTTAAAATTTCTACTATTAACGGTAGATAATTATGCTTGCGTCGAATATTTTCAACCTGATATTGGCGTTTTTTGTTATCTTCCTCTTCGATTAGTAAGCGAAGTCGTGCGAGTTCAGTCTGTTGAGAATCTGTTTCCATTCCAGACTCTTCAATGTACTTTTGTATCGTTTCTATTTGTCTCTGATATAACATTTTTCGGTCACTAACTATCGCCATCAGGTTGAAATGGATTTCGCCTTCGTTGTACCTACAACAACAATAACTACAATATTGAATTTTGTACATCAATATACAACACACCTTTGTATCCTTTTCTCAATGATCGGCCTAACAACATCAACCCAATCTGTATCTGCTGCAACAGGACCCAAATCAATGGGTCCAGTTTTCAAACCATCAAGTTCATAAAGTCTCCCATCAATGGGCACGTAACTTACAAAATGAAAAACGTCTTCATTTTTGTTAGCCAAAGAAGGATCAAATTCAAACAACTGTTGTCTAGCAAAAGAATTATGAACTGACCTAATAACAGGTGAATTACTTATAGTTAATCCTTTCATATTTGCATCAAAACCTTGACAGAAATCTTTCAATTCACTTAATGTATGACCTAGCTTTAAATCAGAATGACGACAGTTTAAGAGTACACTTAAAATAGCTTGTGTCGCACAAGCATTTTCTATAACTTGCTGTGCAAAAAAGATCTTTTCCAGCCGGCTATCTTGAACGACGGAACCACTCGGTTCATCATCTTTAGTCCATTTAAATAGGAATATGAGGCCGTGAATTGGTCTAAAACGAGAATGTGTTAAACATGTTGAAAGACAATGGTGAGGTGTTACTTTAAATTTTCGAACTGTTCTGGGTCCAGACTCCACAGTTCTTCCACTTGGACGCCTTTTACACCTAATGGAATGAGTGTTTATACGAAAAATTGTGGCGGTAAAACTACTTACCAAATTCTCGAATTAATTCAGTAAAAACTCCTGGATCGCTTTCTATTAAACACCAATTTCCTGCCGTTTCTGACATTTTTACGTGTATTAAATGATAAGATATATGTGATTAAACTTATGCTTGTTATGATATAACCTCAAAATTCTTACAAAATGGTTGTCATGCCAGCCATATTTTAATGGTGATTTATCGTCCACATGGCGCGAAATTCAAACACCAAGTAAGCAGATTTTGTTTTTATTTAAATATAATTCAATAGTTTTATTAATTTCTCGTTAAATAAAGCCAGCACTTCTACATATCTAAATTATAAAAAAGCATAGATAAAAATATACAACTTGAAATAAAATGAATTACACAGGTCCCACATGATCATATTTTCATCACTCTTTCAGTGCGCTGTTACACTGGAAGTTTAGATTATCTCTTACAGATGCGTCAAGCTCCTGTAAAGACGAATAAATGTGAATCCCTGGAGTGGAAGTAAACGCAGACCTTGACAATCTTGTGCTTCTTCTGACTGGAGTTGCAAAAACTCTTTTTTCAACTGTGGTACCTTCACTTGTTTTTCTAAAAATTAAAAATTAAGTGCGCCAAACATTTTTCTGTTTGACTTACTTCTTCAGGACTTTTTCTTGTACAGCAAACTGAATAATACTAGATTTAAAAATATTTCTAGCGTCTTGCACAATTTTATTTCGGTCGTTTTTGTTCACGTGAGGACCGCTTTCGTTACAAATATTCAACAAACTGAATTTCTGCAAAAGTTGGTCCAGACATTTATCTACATTTTGAACCTGAAATTATAGATGTCAGATTGAGTTACTAATAAGTTTTAAGCAGAATATTACTTCAGCCCCTTGAATAATTGCAGTTTTGTAACACTCAACTGCTAGATTTATATTTCCTTTTGTCTGTTCTAGAGCTGCACGACATTCCCAGTACTGGGGTTCTTCTTCAACTTGGCCACATTTTTGTTTTATTAATTTCAACCAAATGTCACACTGTTCTGGTGGATACCCCTACAAACAAAAAATATTAACAGGTAAATTTCATAACTACATAAAGTGCTATACATACATCCAGAATTAATTTATGTAGATCTACTAAAGCTGTTTGTGCAACAGCAGGTAGATTAATTTTTTCAGGTGTTGCAGGCGGTTCTTTAATGAAATTGTTATTTTCAATTATGACAGAATTTTCAATATTTTCTTTTTCTCCGTCACAGTTTAGTGCTTTTATTGTATTTTCAGCATGGACACCAAAACACTTCAAATGGTGATACTCTTTAAAACTTTTTCCTTTGATTTCTAGCCATTCACTTAATTTCTGTGTCACTTCGTTGGAAATTTGCTTTGACACAAAAATTGATTTTCTGTTATTGCTTGGTGTGTTAAATAGAGAATTTTTCCTAGCAGAAAATACCGGAGTCAAAGTGCTTCGAATATCTGGTGTTATCATTGAACTCTTTTGAGTGTCTTTGTCAGTACAAGTGATCTTTAACAATTGAGGCTTGTTTGGAGTAACGCTAACCCTTCGAAGATTATTTGTTGAGTGAGGAGTACCATCAGTATTTGACAACTTTGTCTTTGTGTTGTGCTGAGTCTTTAGTTCTTTTTGGTCATTTCTTATCTGTTGTGAGTTAGAGTGAATTGGGGCAGGCATTGACGGTTTTTTATTTTTAAAAACTGAAGCATCATTGTTGACATGTTTCACAGTTTTTATTTTTTGTACAGCACTTAAGGAGCTTCCAGTGGTAAATTTTTTTTTCACAGTTTTACTTGAAGACATGTTTAAGTTTCTGTCAGTGACTAGTTTTGGGACAGACTGTGCTTTTTTTGGTGGATTTGCTTTGAGACTACTTTGTAATGTTAACTTTTTCCGGGGTAGCGCAACTGGGGGTACAAATTCGTGCTTTGATATTTCTTTATTGGATTCACACCGTCTGAGACTTTTGTCACTTTTTAGGGTGAACGATGTTGGGTCAGGATTGTACGAAATGTTGAATTTAGATAACACTTCTGAATCAGTATCCAGAACATTGACCAACGTTTTCAGAGGCGTAATTAAAACAGACTCTTCTTTATTGTTGGACGTTATTTTTTTTTCGAGTTCGTGCACTAGTAACGGATTTGCTTTAAGCATTCGGTACTTGCTGGTCAAAGTTTGTCTCACTTGAGGAGCTTTCATTTTTTTACTTTGGGTTAGTTTGTCTTTACTCACGCTTTTATTACAAGAATCCATTTCAGGGGTAAAGTTTTCTATGACAATTATAACACAACTTTCGCAACTGAATAACAGGACGCTGAACACTTGTAAACGTTTGTTTTATGTTCGTTGTTACTTCAGTTCAATGTGTAATGAATTTGAAATTGAATTTGAATTGAACCGTTGTTTGAAAATAAATAACGTTTCTGCGCATGCCCAGTTGCACTTGCTTTTAGGGTTTTTAGTTTTATCGGTTAGTGGCATTGCACTAGTGACATATATTTTATTTTTTTACTGCGAAATGGTATGCAAGATGGCGCGTGGTGAATTTTAGCACATGTCAAATTTCGTTTTGGTAAGGCGATACACGTAAATACCGAAAATTTTCATAATACCTGTTTTGTTGAATTATTTTTTGTCGTTGTTGTGAGTTTCGTTGAAAAAATTGCAGTGACAGTTTGAAAGCGGAAGTTTGTTCCTTTGAAATGACGTAAACATTTTGGTATTAAATATACTTTTGAGTGGTTCTTCCTTTAATACGTTTTGTTTGATGATTATTTGAAATCTTTTCATAAGAATTAATCTACAGTGTTGAAGTTTGTTTTATTGATACGCACCCGTTCAACTTTCAGTATTGTTTTTCTTCTGATTTAAAAAAATGAGAAGAAAATGTAACAACGTTGTGGACACATCGTCCGATTGCAATGTAAGTACCGAATGAACATATTTGGTTATTATAAAATAAGTTCGTTTTGTAGACTATATTTGCGTACACATGTCTTTCTATAATTATCTTTTGGAACTTGTCCAAAATGCTTCTTTTAAATGTCCGATATACAAGTTTGTGTCTAGATCTGTATGAAATTTAACGCACAATTTTGTTGTCTCCAATAGGAAAAACTGGACTCTTTCCAAAATTTCACTTTTAATTTTATTTTATTCTGCACCCGCCAAAGTGTGTACATCAACCTCAGTTATTAAGTAATATTTCTCAAATTTCAGCAGATGACTACAGAAGATGTTCAGGCAGATATAAAACACAGTGATGACGTTGAAAACAAGATTCAAAAACAGATTATTTTAAACTCCTCCACCACAGTAGCAAGTATCGAAATGTATGTTCGTGATGTATTTCCTAATGACCACGAAAGTGTCGAGCTTATTCTCCACTATGAAGGTGGAAAAACTGTAAGCAAATCTCTATATCTGTTTCTATATTTTTAGCCCTGACATAAATTGTGTGCTAACCGCGACAGTACTTTTAGTTTAAAATCGAAACAATGCCATTAAACATTTCACAAAATTGTTGCTAACAAATTTAGAACTCAAAATCATTCATAATTAAAATAAATATTCTTTGAAGAATCGTCATTGATCATATACAATGGCAACTTATTATTCCACATACATTAGCATAATGCATTTCAGTTCAAGAAAATACTTTTAAATGAATAGTCACGCAATATTCATAAATTCTTAAGACTATTAAATTCCAAGAAATTTGTATTGAAAAAATTTCAGATTTGCTTAAATGACTATAAAAACAGCAGCATGGGAGATCTCGGTATCCAGCTGAACCCCGAACTGAACTACACTATCACGGTTACGCCGTCAGAAAAACGAAATATGTCGCTGTACGTGAACGATGTTGCCGAAGACGATTTGTTGCTGGGTGCTTCGGCAAGTCCTACTACGGGTGAAGTTCCGTCATCTAGTGGAAACGACACTGCCCCAATTCACGAAGATTTCCTCGAACATGGACATTGTTCGAGGTGCCGCGTCGGACCTACTACTAGTGATGTAGAACCGTCCAACAATGTGGAATCTATGAGTGTCGTTGAAAGTACGAATTATGTTGGACTAGTAAATCAAGCTATGACGTGTTATTTGAATAGTTTGGTGCAAGCACTTTTTATGACACCGGAATTCAGAAACGCCATCTACAACTGGGAGTTCGATGGGCAAAATGAGGCCCGGTCTATACCCTATCAGTTGCAGAAATTATTCTTGAATCTACAGGTGAGTACTTGTTTAGTTTTTTGATTTAAGACAATTTGTTTATGGAATTTACGATATATTGATTTTGAATAAAGTGAGCTGACAGAGCAAATCAAGATTTTAAAAAAACATCAGATGTATAATTAACTGAAAAAATGATGTCTTCTGTGTGTTATAAATTGCATAAACGCACCCACAGCTATCCAATTTTGACTAACATATAAACGTAACAATTCTACATGTCCTAATTATATTAAAAATAATCTTTGTCTTAAAATATCCTCAAGTGTTCCACTTTTTGATTGACTAACAAAACTAGATTTTTTTGACCAACACAAGATTTTTTTACGATTACAATAAAAAATAAAAATGTTCTTATTTCTGTTATTTATATGTCGTAAATAATTACTGATGGATTAATAGATATCACTTGAATCAGTTGCCATTGTTCATTTACTGAGTAATCATAATAAAATTTGACATTTTTTAGTACAAGGGATATAAATGAAAACAAAAGTTGTGTCAAAATAGAGTTAACAAGAAGTTTAAATATTAAAAATATTCAAATGCGACCTACTTTAAATCATTTGGAAAATAAAACACGCTTCATTCCACTGTATTGATTATTTTGGTTACCTGTTTCGTCTGCATGCTTTCTTCAGACCTTGCAAAAGCAATTTTATATCTTCGTATATGAAATATTTTTCCAAATCTTACCTGTCTTATTTAAAATAAAACAAATTTTGTAGCAATATCACTATATTTTTTATTATCCAACACTTAACTCATAGTTAAAACATTTGAGGTCATCAAGTGACTTCTCTGTCACTGTTCATTTAAGCAAACTGTTGTGGAAGGGATCTCGTCTTGACTTGGATTTTCGCTATTGAGATCAGATCCCCCCTCCCCCACGATGGTCGTTGTAACTGGAAAATTTCCCTTATTCATTTCAGACGGGTGTTTCTTATTCTTTCCTTTATTTTCTTGCTGTAAAAGTTCTATATTTTCTACGTCTATCTCGGGTTTTTATGTTCAAACGAAAATATTTCTTTACTAAAAAAAATAGCTAGAACATAAATTTAATTTTGGCCGAATTAATGGGCAAAAGTTCAGTGACACTATTTTCTCGTTGTTGAGGTTTGTTTATGCTATCCGTTTTATCGTGGGATAACATTTGTCACTATATTAAAATGGCTGAACAGATGCAGTGATCACGTGACATGTTAATGTCCATTTGACACTATTGAAATCAAGAGAAACACGAAAAGCGGAATAATAATTTTTAGTGATTAAAAAAATCACTTATTTAAATCATTCTTGTTTTATTTTTAATTTTCTTTTCAAACTACGAAAATATAGTACATTTTAAGCCATTTCAAATACATTTAAATCAATTAAAAGTAAAACGCTAATTGTCGATTTTATTATGCAGATGATTTCTGAAACTATTGCACTAATTGTTATAAAGTTTTTATTTGTATTTTAGGATAACCAAAATTTGTGTGATTATCCTCACCAACAATTTGATGACGTCATCTAAAAATTTTGCATCCAATTGCAATTTAAATTTTATAAAGTAACATAACTTATGGTTTATGAATCCGCCTTATCTTATTTAACATATTGTTTGGACTGTTGTTTTGTTATTTTAACAACAGGTATAACGAAACATTAATTAAAAATATTCAAGTAAATTTTGTAAACATAAATAACACTTCTGCTATTTAGCAACTTAAGAAAACACAATTCAAACATGACAGAGTCGCGTACTTATGAATGTGTGTTAAAGTACGTCGAAAATGAAAATTAATAACTCCGTAAAATATACTCAGTAACATGGAAATCAGAACCCAGTAATAGTAAGCATATTTTAATAATTTTTAATATACGTGGTTATTACGGGAATAGAAGTAAATGATTAATTAAAATTTGAAATGATTCAAAAACATGTGTTCGAAAAATTTAGTTTGAAATGAAATTTTTCAAATATACATCTTGAAAATTCTCATTTTTCATTTTATCAGTTCTGGAAAAATTATTGGAAATTTCGAAGAAATGGAACCGAAAATAATTTATATTATATTTATATTTTATATATTAATATTTATATATAATAATTTCTACAAATCTAATTTTATAAAAAGAATGGCCAATTTTCGGAGTGTTCGAAGGACAAAAAACTGTTGTTTTTAATTATTTTTTCGGTAGTTTCGAAGATCATCTTAATTTATCGTAGCAGGTACTAGCTTCGCCCACCCACCCTTTTTTTCTTACGTGTGTTATTTGCTAAAATCAGTCTTATCTTAGCAAATAGCCGCTAGCCCCGCCCACCCACCCTTTATTTTTGTAGCGAGTATGTGATTTGCCAAAATCAGTCTTATCTTTGCAAGTACTACTATGGATATGGCAGAAAAACTGATCGTTTACTTATCTTACACTAATACACATGTATACAAAAAATTATCAAATTATTCTTACTATTACAGGGTGTTATGATTTCCATGTCACTTAGTATATAAGGTGTATCAAAAACTACATAAATTTAAATTAAAACTCTTAACTTTTGATTTTTCTTGCTGTTCTAGAATTTTAGTTCTAGATAATTGAAAAACTAAAATAAAAAAAAACAAATGATTTTTCTTTAAATCCGAATGATTTTTTTTTAATCCGATTTTTTGCAACACCGATTGTCAGATTTTTTTATTTCTTTTAGGAATATCGTGTAGATGGTAAAAATAACCAAAATTTGTCTGATTATACTCACCAACAATGTAATGGATGACGGCATCTTAAAATTTTACACAGTAAATGTTATTTAAATTTCATAAAATAACATACTTTTTTAATTGTGAGTTTAAGAATCCGCCTTTATTTGTGACGCCTCAGTGTTTATAAGCACGACGTTCAAAATCTACCATGTAATTTTTTCAGTTAGACATAAGGGGAGGTTTTAGAAACAATAATGTGAAAGACGTAGGGTATATTTTAATTATTTTTACTTCCCGAGCGTAAGCAAAGGAAGTATTGTAATCGAGTCCGTAGGCCGGCTATCTAGTTTTACGTTTTCTCGACCTTTCATGACCCCTAGATTACGAAGAAATAGGTCTCCCGTTTTCGTCTGTCTGTCCGTCTGTCTGCCGTCCCGATTTTAATTAGACAGATTATCTCAGAAAGTACTGGGGTGGATTGTTGTCAAATTTTGTATTTATGTGTGGCAGCGGCGATGAAGATTTAAAAACATGCTGGGTGTAATCCGAGTGATATTCAAAATGTTTCGACTTGGAAATATTAAACTATTATTAATAGCGTTAATAAAAATATCAGTTGACATTATGGAAAGCGAATTTAAAGATTTGTTAATGCCGCATTATGAAATCTGAGTTGAATAAAATTGTTTTAATTACTTTCAAGAAATAGGAATTCTAATGAAAATAAAAGAAACTGTACAAACAAGTTTACGCCTCACTGCTCGTCTTCTCCATTTCTTGTTTCGTCTCGTCTCTTTCTTCTTGTGTCTTGTGCTTGTTCACTGATTTCCCTTGTTTCGTTGTTTTTTCCTTTGTTGGCAGTTTGTGTTAAATCTTTTTCAAGACAATTTTGCTTCTGTTCTTTTTTAGTAAGTATAAAATGTTGTAATTTGTTGTGCAAGTGAAGTTTGAAATTAATTATTTATTGTTGCGTAGTCAAACAAATAAATTTATTTTTACTAAATGATTGTCTCTATTGTTTTGATAGATGTTACCATTTTTTAATTGTTTTTTAAAGAAATATAACTCATCCGAGCCTCCTTTCTGAATACATTGATGTTTCGTTGTGAAATTTCTTCTAAAACGCTAACCAAAAAAGTTGTCTAATCATCCCCACCAATAATGTGATGACGTCACTTCAAAATTGTACATAGTAAATGGGTTTTAAATTGCATAAAATAACATAGTAACATGGTCCTATACATGTTCAGTTTTTACCCGAAACGTCCAGATTTATGGAAAAAAAAATCTAAAATATAAAACAACATTTTGCAATTTGATTTTGAATCCGCCAAACTGAATGCTTTGAAATCTTGCGGATATTTTAAAGTTATCATAAGCATATAAATTTTTAATCAAAATATATTTGCTTATCTCCTCCAAAAAAATTGATGCCGAATAAATTCTACCCAAAATGTGCAACATATGATGAGTTTTTACTTGTCATTTATCATGGCTCAAAATTAAAATTTGCTGTTTTTAGAATTACACTACACCAATCCAAGTTGATATGTGTCCTTGCAAATAACAAAAACGTATTAAATTTGAAATGGCTAGCAGAGCATTGACAGTGACATAAATTTAGTGATTTTAATAAATATCCTTATTTATGGTACGGAATTATACATAGTTGTCCCCGATTAATAAGTAATTGACGAAAGTCGTAATTTATAAACGAGGGACACCGTACTTTGCAAATTTTGACCACCGTAATTTATAACAAACGAACGCTGTAGAGTAGAATCACTCTTGGAAGAATACCTAGTAAAACTGCGCGATTAAACGCATTTTCGTCGCGCGGGACTGGGTTGAGTCCATGTTCAAATCTAGGGGTACGTCGTGTGTCAATGTCGACGCGTCAGCTGATTACCAGGTGATTACCACTTCGCTTCACTTGTTTGTTGTTGTCGGTCGTTTGATGTGTTCGGTGTTTTCTGAGTTATATTATATATATTATATTATCTCCTTAAAATCAGTCCTTTTGAGAACTATTGAGTTGGTTTGGCCTTTTATTAGTTTTCCAAAACTATATGTTACGCCACTGGCCGAAAACAGACTGTTTCTAGTTGTCACATCTGGATGACTCACCGTGTTGTTCTAAAAGTGAACGGACTCTACATTCTGAAGGCTGTACTTTATGAGAATAAATTCCTGTCCTCATAATAAAGTTTTGTCGCCATACATAATTTTCCAATTATTAAATTCGTTCCCAGAAATTACTTTTTTTCTCAGATTAATTAAAGTGTTACCAGGCATTTATGTCCAAATTAATTA